TGGAAGAATGTTACAAATAATCCAAAGGAAGATGGTTTCCTTTTACCTTTGGAATTCTTAGTTGAGGCTACAGAGAGCCTCCCTGGGTACCACTGCCTTACTGGACCAGCATCCTCAGCCTCACCTGGGAGCTTCTTAGAAATGCAGAGTCACAGGTCCCACCTCAGACCCAAAGAATCAGAATCTGCATGTTAAACAAGATCTTTAGATGTTTCTTGAGCACATGAAAGTTTAAGAAGTAATGCCTTCAATGAATATTAAAAGGTTTGCATCGCAGGAGCAAGAGGCAGTGCAGAGGCCAGGTATGGGAGGCTGGGAAGAAGGGGCTGGCAAGCAGGAACAAGTTTAGGATTAAATGTGTACAGCACCAAGTGGCCTGCCCAGGAATAACAATTTCACTCACCTTTCTTCTCTGCCCTGACCCTTCCCAAGCCATTCTGCACCAGGCAAGGTTCGAGGCTTCTCTGACCCCGTGTAAGAGCTTCACATCATGGTGTCTCGACCTTTGAAGTTTCCTCCTCCAGGAATGCCCTTCCTCCCTTGTCTGCTGAGCTAGCTCCTAGTCCTTCTTCAAAACTCTACTAAATGACTTCTCTGGTGGTTCAGTGATTAAGAATCTGCCTGCCAAAAATATAAGGGACACAGGTTTGATCCCTGGTTCAGGAAGATCCCACACACAGTGGGGCAATTAAGCCCATGGGCCACAACCACAGAATCACACATGCTGTAGAGCCTGCATGCCACAACTACTGAAGCCCATGCACCCTAGAGTCTGTGCTCAGCAACGAGAAGCCACCACAATGAGCAGCCCGTGCGTTACGACTAGAGAGTTGACCCAGCTCCCAGCAATGAAGACCTAGTGCAGCCATAAACAAAAAAAAATATTTTTTTTAAAATCTGATACAAAGTAACCCCTTCCTTGTTGTACCTACATACTTCTCTCTGTGATGCTATGACCCTGGGTCTGCTCACTCATTTATCAGTTCCTTCATACAACAAACTCGAATATCTAATGTCCCCTATGTGCCAGACACAAGGCTAGAAAGTAGAGACATAGAAGTGGATGAGATACAGCTCACTCTTTGAGAGTTTACCTTCTAGACAGGGAGGTAAATGTATCAACTCTCATCTACAGTACCCCCTGGGATTGCTTGAGTCAGGGAGTATTGTCATTTTTTGTTTATATATCTTACCTCCCCAACTAGACTGTTGTTCCTTAAAAACAGGGGTTCTGTCTTATTCTTCTTAGTTTGTGTTAGGCCACTATTAGTCTCTGAGCAGATGAGAATGAATGCATGAATGAATATCTATTTCATATCTTGGGAAAGAGCAGAAACACCATCAACCTGACCTTCCACAGCCAAAGTGTGGTGGAACCAGGTCTGGGAGCCAGGTTCAGCCACCCCATTCCCTAGGAATTCCATTCAGTGAAGGATTTTCCCACATGGAGTCAGATACTGCAGCGCTCACAGAAAAGACCTAAAGCAGATTCTCTAAAGAGTTTAAGATCTCTCAGAGAAAATAAAGCCCACACCCATGAAACAATCAGAAAACATCAAATGATAAAATCCAGTAAGTGTAGAGACAAGTAGAAATGGACAATCACCCGAGCGAGCCTCAAGCAGGTCCTTGAAGAAATGTTTATTTGGGCAGGTAAGAAGAAAAAGGGAATTCTAGACAGGGGAACACCAAGAGCAAAGGCTCAGCAGCACAAAAGACAAAGGCATGTGGAGCATGGGGAAAAATCGGAGGTGTGGATGGCGCCCAATGTCAGAAAGCCATGAGCATACAGTGTGGAGTTCAGACAAGGGTTCTGGGAGTCTTGGGACAAAGCAAATTACTGTTGCTGTCACCATCTAGGAAATATGAAAGCGTTTAGCTTTCTGTGAAAACTCCAAGTTCCCTTATTTTTTGGTGAAGAAGGGATGTTTCAAGAGTTGACTTTAAAAAAAATAAAAAGAGTTGGTTTTTATAGAAGTGGTAATGGATCACCTGATCTCCCTTGAGGAAGAACGTGCCATATTTGCAAACCAACTGGCCAGGACAGAAGGTCAGGAGTTCTGAGAAACTTTGTTTATTCTAAGAAGATAACTGGTCTGGGTTGGGACAAAACTTGCGACCTAAGGTTCTCTAGGTCTAAGTAACTGAGCCAAATCAGTGGCAGGATGACCACTTCCAAACACACACACACACACACACACGTACAAAGAGCTGGTGTTTTATTAAAGAAAATTCCCAGTGTAGACATGTAAGCACACAGACTAGCTAAGAGCAGAAAGAGTGAGGTGGCAAAGAGAAACAAAGACTGAAGCGCTGGCAGAAGGCAGAAACCTTTTAAAGGAGGCACAGCTTCTGCAGGTCCTCAGGGGACAGGCTGAACTGTTTTCAGTTCCAGTAGCCAAACTCTGATGGTGCCAGACTCTCCATTATTCCTGGGTGGCCCCACCCCCTCCACCCTTAGGCTGCTTTCTGTTGGCAAAAGTTTGCTTGCTTCTGGAAGCCTTTGAATATTGGAGCATCTGGTGTTCTAGAGACTTAAAATACTGCAAATTCAAGTAACATAACTGCTTGGATCTACAAGATCCAGCTTGCTGGTGTCTTGCCCTTCAGAATGTCATCCCTCAGAGCTATGCAAAACCCTTCCCCAAGTTTGGCTTCCTAACTCTTTCTTTGGATGAGAAGAAGAACTTAGCTATTATATTTAGGGTTGCAGGGCTTCCTGCCCATAGAAATAAAAAATAATGAGATGGGGACTGAATCATCAGATGACAAATCCACTGGGGAAAACATACTGGAAGAGGATGGAGGATCCAGACCAGGCTCTAGCCCCTAACCAACCTCATTTAGTTCCTATGATTATTTTCTATCAGGCAAATAGCCTCAAAGAATTGACATAAACTTCATCATATTGAACAGAGAGTAAGAGGCAGAGCCAGGATTTAAACCAGGTTTGTTTCACCTAGAAGCCATTCCCTACACTATATGCCTTCAAGGTCCTGGATTTAGTAGACAACCACCCCTAAGCAAAGGGCATAGGGGGCAGGCAGGTCTTTCCCATGGGCCCCTGCAGGGCTATTTTGGTTTGGGGCAAAATTGTATTTGACAGCTGTGGACTTGCGCTCTGTGTGTAAGTGACTCCATGCCTGTGTGTAAGAGGAAGATTTGTGGAGAGGCAGAGTTGAGAGAGAGAGGAAGACTTCCTCTTCTTCCTCCTCAGAATGAAAGCTTAACCTTGAATGAAAGGAATTCAAATTTGATGTGTGCAAGCCAAACCCTGGAGGGGTATGTGCACACTTGCCAGGGCAAAGCGTCCTCTGCAGGGAGGAGCACATGGAGAAGCTGCCCAGCCCACTCAGCCCTTATCCCAAGTAATCCCTTCTACTCAGAACAACAGATGTACAATCACCATCCATCCACCTCACTCGGTATCCTGAAGGTTGTCGTCACATGAAAACAATATTTGAGGAAGTAGAAAAGGGCCCCTCAGCTCAGGAGAGCATGTTGCCTAATAAGTCAGAAAGGAAACCACTTCCTCCCCATGAACTCTTAGTATATTAAAAAGGTCCCCCCCATCATGTCAACATGTGTTGCCTCTCTGGTATGTCTTGGACAGGATATTGCCTTCAATCCACATATTGTAACTTATTGACATGCTCCTTATTGAGAGCTAAAAATGAGGAAGAAACATTTCATGACTCTTAGCCATGGCTGAATAAAAAGAGGCTTCAAGCCTCCAAGTGGAGACCAGAGGACAGTTGGCAAAAGAGAAAGTTAATGATGAGTGTGTTGTGGAGGGTCCTTGAAATCTGGAGAGTTAGGGAAATCACTCAAAAATGTAGCTCTGGGACTTCCCTGGTGGTCCAGCAGTTAAGACTCCACACTTCCAATGGAAGGTGCATGGGTTCAATCATTGGTCAGGGAACAAAGATCCCATGTGCTGTGGGGTGCAGCTAAAAAAAATTAAAAATTACCTCAACTTGAGATTGGATCAGAAATCAGAGACCCACAAAAGATCTGCTCTTTATCCAGGCTCTAAATGGCTAAGAGGGGAAAATGGGACACAGTATATGAGGCAGGCCGTATGGGAGTAAAGACAAAGAGATCTGAGCTGAGACCAGACTAGAAACAGGAGTTCAGAACCAGAGGATTAAAAAAATAAATAAATAAAACTAGCCTTATTAAATCTTACAACATTAAAGGAACCAAAAAGGAAGGAATCTCACATTTCAGACCAAGAGTTAAATCAGTGGCTGTCCGCTTTGGTGACCCAGGAGTGTCGTTTCTGAAATAGACAAGTGCTCCAGCTCCACCCATATATTCTATCCAGACCTCTGGTGGGGGCCCAGCCAAGAGCCACCAGCCACTCTGATATCCAGCCGGCATCAATAAGCACTGAGTTACATCGAAGAGATGTATTCATACCCCACTTCCAACCCATTCACGCCCCCCAAACTTCCTCAAGCCTCAAACTGGCCCCCAATGTATGAGTCACAGCAGGGCTTTCTTCCAGTCACTTCAGTTGTTTCAGGAATTCCCAACTATAGATTCTTCACCAGCACTCCACATGCCCTTCAGCCAGGGTAGAAACACAGGATGATTGCCACAGACTGCATTTATTTAGGGATCATTGGCCAAAGGAACAATCATTTGGGGTAATTTTTATCTCTGTGATTCCTCTCTGGAACCTTCCACAGAGAGCACCGTCCAAGCAGAGGGTCTGACCTGAAGGGACGCTCGAGGCCACTGCAGCAGCTGACCAGGGTCTCACTCCAGGGGGACCACATCCATGCTCCCCCTTATCAGCCTGTCTTCCTCCAGGCCTGTCCAGTCTCTGCTGGGCTTCGAGCCCTCCAACTCCATCATCCCTCTGCCCAAGCAGTGAGGCAGGCAGAGGACTGGGAGGGCAGTGGGTCTGAAACAACTGCTATATGGATGGACTCAGGACACACAGCAAAGAGAGTCTCTGCCTCAGCCAAGGGTGAAAGGACCACCCCTTCTTCTCAGAAGGCTTGCTCTGTTTTTGCCATTCCCCCAGTTGACCTTTTGTCTGGTGGGCTAGTTGGTGCTGACCTCAGAGAAGGCCAGACTGGGTGCTGTGGGGAGAGAGAAAAAAAGCATATTTGTAAGAAGCATTTCAATCATAATAGTTACCATTCATTGAACTCTTTCCATCTGTCTGGGCTAGTTCTGAATTTCACATGCACTATCTCATTTGTTCCTCACAACCCAAGAGGTAGGTTTTATTAATATTTTCCCCATTAAGGATGAGGAAACCAAAGCTCAAGAAACCAAGTTACCTGCCCAAGATGATCCAGCTTCTAAGTCAGGGTAAAGATGCAGACCCTGGTCTGTCCAACTCCAAAGCTAGGGAGCTTAACCATTGTGCCATACAGCCTCAGAAAGAGGACATGGTATGGTGCCCCTCCATTTAAGTAAACTTAATAAAAAGGCAAAGGTTCTGGGACTTGCCTGGCAGTCCAGTAGTTAGGACACCAAGGAGGTACAGTGGGGAAGGGTTCAATCCCTGGTTGGGGATTTAAAATCCTGCACACTGCAGGTGTAGTCAAAAATAAAAATCAATGTAAAAAAAATCCATGATGAGCAAAGATTTTTTTTTTAAATTTTTAAGCAAAATTTCTTTGTTACCCCTGCTCTCTATCAGATAACAGCCCCCTAGCTAAAGTCTCAAACAAATGGTACACAGGCCAGAATTCACCCACAGCCTTGTGTAATTTGACAGTGTTTTAGAATAACTTGATGAGCCCCTGAAGGCCTTTGAGTTTGTGGCCCTGGTCTCCCATCACACTTCCTTTATTGGATCCGTTTCAAGGGGACATGGGTGCGGTTTTCTGCAGAGTTTAAATCTCAAACACCTGGCACCAAACATGAGACGCTGGCACTGAAGCTGGCTCACTTCTCCATCATCTCTGTCCCACAGAGTGTCTGCAAACGGTACCACCCAGGTGATGGACACAGAGCAGCAGGCACCGTTATCAGCAGGTCTCTAAGACAAGGTTCTGGCAGTTACTGTAGCATCACATGGCAATGATGGGAGAAGGATGCGGGGAAGGGGAGTGACTATATTCAACTTCAGAGGGGAGCTCGTGTTTCACTTGGTGGAGCAAGGCCAGATTCTGATCTCACTCTTCCCTGGCATAACCTTTCTCTGTTGCAATCATCTGGGAGTCATGTGTCCTTGGAGCTGGTATAACAGGAAAAAAACACAAGCCATCATCCTATAAACAGAGGAGGCCAGCCTTCCTGAACACAGTAGAACACTGTTCCCTGCAATGGCTGGGGTGCCTATTGTGAAAGTCCTTCAGTTGCGTCCGACTCTCTGAGACCCCATGGAGTACACAGTCCACAGAATTCTCCAGGCCAGAATACTGGAGTGGATAGCTGTTCCCTTCTCCAGGGGATCTTCCCAACCCAGGGATCAAACCCAGCTCTCCCACACTGCAGGCGAATTCTTGACCAAGTATTATTTATCTACAAATAGCATCATGTCCCTCGCCAGCTCATTCCTTTTGTCCTTACGTCTACTCACTACACAGCCAGTGTCTTTTCTAGGTGCTAGACTTTCCTGGAGAGTTGAACAAAGAGAACATAGGAATCAGACTCTGTATTATTACATGAAATCCAGCATGCAGCCTTCCAGCAGTTGGATTATGTCAAGGTCAATAAGTCACAGAGTTAAAAAATCTAAGAGTTGAAAAATATTGACTTTAAATGCAACTGGTGGGTAAATTTAGTTTAGAGCTTCCCAGGTGGAGTTTTGACTAAATGGACATGAGTTTGAGCAAACTCCAGGAGATAGTGAAGGACAGGGAAACTTGATGTGCTGCAGCCCAAGGGGTCGCAAAGAGTCCCCATGGGGACATGACTGAGCAACTAAACAACAACAAACGTGGAAAGAATCTGCCTGCCAATGCAGGAGATGTGGATTCAATCCCTGGGTCGGGAAGATTGCCTGGAGCAGGAAGTGGCAACTTACTCCAGTATTCTTGCCTGGAGAATCCCATGGACAGAGGAGCCTGGTGGGCTACAGTCCATGAAGTCACAAAAGAGTCTTAGTGACTTAATGACTTAGTGACTAAACAACAATAAAATATCCCGACACCATAGGAAAACTGTAAAGGCTATGAATAAAGGAGCATTGGGTAAAATAGCATAAACAGTAGAGTTCTCATAGTGGTGCATCAAATAAAGAATGCTACTAGCATAAAAAGACTTGGGGAAAGACATGTAATTCATTAAGGGACCTAGGGCTTAAATTGTAAATAGCAATTCCTTAGCACAACACAGCACTAGGAAGTTACTGGTGCTGGACTTGCAGGCATGTGTATATGAGCATCTAATGGGCATGGCAAATTTGTGTTGCATTCAGTTAATAAAGTGCAAATAATGACCTTATGCTGCAAAAAAAAAAAAAATCTAAGAGTTGGAAGGGACCTTTTGAAAGGGAGGAAAACAGTTCCTCATGACATGATTTTTGTACAGGATCATCTAGTCCCTCTTTTCTATATTGTGTTAAACCAGTATTGTGCTGATGAGAAAGAGATCTTTGTCTAACCTCATGATAGCACTTCCTTCTACCTCTAAGATCAACCCTCTCCAGCCCTAGAGATGCTCAGAAGACTTGAAATTGGGTATAAGGACAAGTTTGCTACTACTCTTCTATCCAGCAGAGCTTCAACGTATTACAATTTCCAACTACCTAGAAAAATCTCTGCCTTCAGCAGAGTGTCCCCCCACCCCACCACCACCCCACCTCACCCCCACCCCTGCTCCCACCAGGAAACCTTAGCAACATCCATCCCCCGTGAGTCTGCCATATCCTTCCCAAGTCCTTTTCCTGCCTCCAGACACCAGGCTCAGCGGGACCCAGAACACTCCTCACCATGGTCATGTAGGTGGCCTCCGATTTTCCACCTGATTCTTCCTCGTCGTTCACCTCTTGTGTGGTTATTGAGGAGTAAATGTGTTTCTAGAGGGGAGACAATCATATAAATAGTCTTAAAACTCCACAAATCTTACATGCCAGAGAAAAGGCTATCTTTTCCATGTTCTTATGATCCCCTATGTTCACAAAATCAGTGAGTTCTGAGGGTTATTGAGAGCTACAGAATGATCATAGGTCACAATAATTCAGTCCTCAGACCCCCAAAATCAGTGAGTTCTGAGGGTTATTGAGAGCTACAGAATGATCATAGGTCACAATAATTCAGTCCTCAGACTTCCTGAAAATTAAGAAAATTAATTCATCAGCAAAGAGCACTACATTCAGAACGAACTTCTTTGGTTCAAAAGTCAAACATCTGGGACTTCGCTGGTGGTCCAGTGGTTAAGACTCCACACTCCCAGTGCAGGGGGCATGGGTTCAATCCCTTGTTGGGGAACTAAGATTCCCCAACATGGTGTGACCAAAAAAAAAAAAAAAAGTCCAACATCTTTCTTTAGATGGGCATTGAGGTAGCAGCAGAGAATTCTTATTTTGCCGAATGATTTGAATTTTGTGGTTATTTCCTCACAATTAGAGTCTTGGCAGGACAGCATTCATCAGCACCTAATTGTCACCATCTCTCCCATAGGGCTTAAATGGCAGGAACAGCCCTCACTGAACTTCATGTCTGTGAGGTCAGGGGTACTTTGTGACTCCCGTCCCTGTCACTATCTGGGGAAGTGATATCATCCAGTGACAAATTCTTGGACTTCTGGAGTCCCCTATAATGTGAGAAAATCCTACTCTTGGGTCACAAACAGCCCAAAAGATGAAAAGGTATGTAAGAAGAGTTTTTCAAAAGAAAGAAAGGAAGGAGGGAGGGAGGAAAACAGGAAGAAAGAAAGAAAGAGGGATGGAGGGAGGAGGGAAGAAAAGAAAGAACAAAAAGGGGGGAGGGGGGAAGTTCAAGGAAATTAATCCATTTCTCAGTTCCTAGTAGCAATTATTTATTATTTATATAAACTATCACAAACGAATATGATCAAGAAAAAGTTCTTGATTCTCTCTTTCTAAAGGTTCCTGAATATTTAATCTGAACTGTTAACTCTTTCACTTAACCCCAGAATGGATCATAATCACCCCTCATATTGATACAATGCCTCAGAGATTATAGAGCACTTTCACATAGCATCACGCTATTTGAACCTCACAGCTGGGCAGATATGTTTGTCCTTCTCCTCATTTTGAGGATGAGAAAACAGAGGCTCGGGGAGTGGCAGAGCTGGGCTTGAACTGGCTTCCGATTCCAAGCCCAGTGCGCTTTCCCCAGACCCTCCAAGGCTGGGCTGGGCTGCTGGGCTGGCCCCGCCCACCCCACGCGCCTCACTACTCCTGGGCTCTTAGTGAGTGATGGAGATCTCCTAAGCACTGCTCTGGGCCAGGCACTGGAGGTGCTGAGACATAACAGTGAATGAGACACAGTTCCCAGGAGAATGATAAAGACACCACCTGGGTGCTGGAGCAGTCTCCACCTTGTCCTCACTGGGTACAGCTGCAAAGCAGCATAATTCTGGTTTTTGGTTTGTCTTTTTTTTTTTTTCCATTTTATTTATTTATTTGGTCCTGCAGGCATGTGGAATCTTAGTTCCCTGACAAGGAATGGAATCCATGTCCTCTGCGTTGGAGGCACAGAGTCTTAAGCACTGGACCACCAGGGAGGTCCCAAAATGACAGAATTCTTCTCTTACCTCTGCACGAGGCTTCTCTGTGTTCTCCAGGCTTTTGACCAGGGTGGTGGAAGTGACTGAACTGCAAAGAAAAGCATGAGAAACATGAAAAGCACGTGCAATTAACCACCTGGCATTGTATAGTCAAGGATGACAACACAAGACCACACAGAGCTTTTATAAAAAGAGACCTCAGAGGAGGACCCACTTCTAGACACCTTCAGCCCACACTAAACAGCTCAGCTTAGAATCTGAGGCATGCATCTTTTTAATGGAGAGCAGAGAAGTATCGAGAGAAAGCCTGGGCGGAAGACAGCTTCAGCCTCTCCTGTGAGTGAAAGTTGCTCAGTGGTGTCCGACTCTTTGCAACCGCATGGACTATATAATCCATAGAATTCTCTAGGCCAGAATACTGGAGTGGGTAGCCTTTCCCTTCTCCAGGGTATCTTCCCAACCCAGAGATCGAACCCAGGTCTCCCGCATTGCAGGAGGATTCTTTACCAGCTGAGCCACAAGGGAAGCCCTCCGCCTGTCTCCTGTCACCCTAATAACTTCCTGTCCAGAACAATTGTAAGTGAATTAAGAGAGGGACTCCACGGGATTGGATTTCATCACTTCCGAGGACTAGGGAGAAGAAGTTTGACCAGCAGGGGGCAGCAGAAACTCAGCAAGACAAGAGTTAAAGGCTCTGGGATTCTCCCTGGGGGGAGGACAAGCAGAATTAACCCCGCAAACACCCAGGGCTGGGAGCTCGGGCCCCTTCCTTGCCCCTTGGCCTTTGATCTCTTGACCATCTGCCTTCTGCTTTTGCTACTGAATAGCCTTCCAATTTTCTACTTCGGCCTAAAGTACAGCTAAAAACAACAACCAGGGTTAAAGCTAGAAGGGAATCTGGTTTTTTGTCTCAAAGTGTAAATATTTTGATCATATTTCCTGATTATAAAGTTGTATGCTCTGATTGTAAAATAATTCAAATAATACAGAAATGTAGACAGTCTGAAGTTCAAGTTCCAGTAAACCTCCTATCCTCATAGGACCCACCTTTTCTTTTTTCCCAAATAGCACTATTAGTATTTTAAAACTATCCTTCCAAACTTCTCTCAATGCATAAGTATACTCACATAGAATATATTTAGTATATGTGCTGCTGAAGTGAGAATTACATAATTTGCTTTTTTATTAAAATAAGATCCTACTATACATTGTATATTACTTCTTGGACATCTTTCCCCATCATTACATACAGGGTTGAGCAGTATTTCATCGACTGGAATACCAGTTCATTGGATCATTACCTTTCTGACAGGCACTGACAATGATTTCAGTTTTTAATTATAACCTTTGCTACAGCAACCATGTTTATGCACAAATCTCAACACATCCATCTGATTATTTCTTAGAATAAACAGATACATAGACATGGGACTTCTGTTCTTCATTTTGAGAGACACTGAGGTCCAGATCGGGGAAGTGAGCTGATAGGGAAGCCATATTGTCTAACTCTTCGTTCTGTGTTGCCCACCTGCCAAGAGCAAAGACTTTCAATTTCAAAACCAAGTCAGAAAGCCCCTGAGGAGTCAAATGCAAACCTAGCAGATACCAGCAGTTTCTGTAGGATCCACGTCCCATGGGGAAAGGAGACCTAAAAGTCAGCTCTACTCACTCTAAATGGGGGTTCTTGTCCCTTGACACTATTTCAAAAGGAGAGTCAATTTGCCCTAGCAACATAGTTCATCAATAGTTGGATAAACAGAAGGATATGGCCCAGCCAAAACCAGTGAAACGCTAGTGTTCATGCCAGAGGATCTGCGAATTTCTGAGATACTAGGAGAACTTCAGGTGGTGCAGCTGGTAAAGAATCTGCCTGTTCAGTGCAGGAAACAAACAGGTGCAGGTTCAATCCCTGGGTCGGGAAGATCCCCTGGTAGAGAAAATGGCAACCCGGTCCAGAAAATCCCATGGACAGAGGGGCCTGGAGGGCTATAGTCCATGGTGTCGCAAAGAGTCAGACACAACTCTGAGCATGCATGTACAGAACTTCAAGCCTTTAAAAATACATTCCCTAAAAATTATTTAGAACCTGAGGCTGTCCATTCAAAAGTAGCTTCTCATAATTAAAATGTGATCCTTCAAATAATGTCACTGACAACCCTCAAAATCTGAGCTTCTCTAAAAAGTGTATACGTGCTATGGGTAATCCAAAAATCATTTCTCTCAGGCATTGAATAGCACCATTATGGTTCTTGCATAAGATTTATACTCTTATGCAATTATGTTCTACTAATTATGTTCTACTTGGACAAACATTTTAAGTCTTTGTAATCTTATAAAATGACAATGATGTGGGAATGTGTAAGGCCTTTCAGGACAACAAAGAACAGAGGAGGCTTCGCTGGTGGCTCAGTGGTAAAGAATCCACCTGCCAGTGCAGAAGATATGGGTTTGATCCCCGGGTTAGGAAGATCCCTTGGAGAAGGAAATGGCAACCTATTCCAGTATTCTTGTCTGGGAAATCACATGGACAGAAGAGCCTGGCAGGCTACAGTCCATGGGGTCGCAAAAGAGTCAGAGACGACTTAGAGACCGAACAGGGAGCAAAGGGGGTGGGGTCACTGCACGATGACATCTAACATGATTACCCCAGATGATGGCTAGTTTAAAATACTCCCTTCTGGGCTTCCCTGGTGGTTCGCTGGTTAAAAATCCTCAGGCCAATGCAGGGGACACAGGTTCGATTCCCTGGTCCAGGAAGATCCCACATGCCATGGAGCAATTAAGCCCGTGCATAGCTATGGAGCCCACTCGCTGCAGCAACTGATGCCTGAGCACGGAGAGCCCGTGCTCAGCAACAAGAGGGGCCGCTGCAATGAGAAGCCCACTTGTCGCAACTAGAGAAGACCCACCACAATAAATAAACAACTCTTTCTAAAAATAAATAAAATAAAACACACCCTTCTGTGAAAATGGTACACATAGGGTCTTATCACTCTCTTCCACTTCAGGCTAGGGGCACCTCAGCCTCCCCATCCAAGAGATGGGAGCAGCCCCATACCTCTTATTTCCGAAGGCCCTCTTCACAATCAGTATCAGAACCGGAAGCAGCAGGATGGTGGCGCAGACAATCCCCACGATGATCACCAGCTGGTTACCACCCAGGATCTCTGGTCTGAGGGCTCCCGGGGTCACCAATGCTTGGGAAAGGAGAAGAGCAATGACAGAGCCTCAACATTCTAGAGAAGAGCTGGGAGCCTCACCAGTTCTATGCCAAACAGCAACAGCCAAGTCAGGAAGTAGGAGGAGAAGGCCAGACTTCACCCCACATGGAAGCACTGGTACTCCAGCTGACCCCTTTAGATTGAGAACCAGCCTCTGCCCACCCCATTTTACCCTTAAAATATAGATGAAGGTGGGTGGGTAAACAGAATATCACCTGACCTACAATAGAGTTTCCATTTACATTAACAATTCTCTTAAAATGTCGTTCACCAAATGACACAAATAACAGACATCTTAGAGGCTGCTGACCTTTCTATGGTGAAGTGATTGTTTTCAAAGGTATCTAAGCTACAACACAGCCCCACAGTCATGATACCAAGCACGAAATTTCCATCCATCTATATAGCACCCTTCACCCATTTCCTCAGTTTACTCTGAACACATTTATCAAACATCTCCTGAGTGCCAGATAGTACTAGGCACAGAAGATACAAATAACACCAATTATTGTTGGTGTAATAATACCAATACCAATAATGCATGGTCTGTGCCCTCAGGGAGGCGACAGTGTGCGCGGAACACCACAGACTGCTCTGGGTGCTAGGAGAGCAGCCCACATGGGGGCAAAGCACTGAGAAACGGGCGCCCAATTCTACGGGGGCAGAACCTGAGAATCTGTCAGCAAGTTTTAAAGTTTGAGTCTGAAAGGAACTATCAAGGATTTTAGCAAACAATAGGAGAAGGATGGGGGTGGGGGAGGTAGGGACATTATACCCAAGGTCTGGGGCCTTTAGCTTCAGGATGGTGCTTGGAGAAACTAGCAAGAGGGCCATGGCTCTGGGTCAAAGGTTGCATTTGAGGGTGTGATGGGGAATGAGGCTGGGTATATAATAGGATCTAAGTCATGAAGCATCTTAATTATCTTGATGAGGAATTTGTTTCAATCTTTTGTTTTGCTTTGTTTTTTGTTTTTTCCGTAGGTGATGGAGAAGACATTGAAAGACTGTACGAAGTTCAGATTTGTGATTGAGAAAGATGGCACTGAGAATGAGGGGTAGTGACTAAGAGTGAAAGCAGAGACTGGTGAGAGGACTACAGTCTAAGACAGACAGACAGTCAGAATAAGGGGGTGGTGCCAGATAAGAAAGAAGACAGATCCAAAGTCAGTAGTAGAAATGACAGGACTTGTTGACTTGTTAGACTGGAGGTTCTGGGAAAGGGAAAAATCAAGTACAACTCCCAGGCATCCAGTTGGATAATTGTGTAGATAGCAGTGGCATCAACTGAGGTTGGAGAGATGGGCAGGGGACAGGTGTGAGTGGTGGATTTGGATTATTTGTGTGTGAGTATTTGTGGAAAATCTGGATGGAGTTCATATACAGAGACAGACGGATAGACAGATGGATGGACGGATAGATAGATAGGTTGTGTGTAACAGAATATGTTAAATGTATACAGAACGTGGTGTTCAATACCACTGGGGTAGGAAAGATCCAGGATGAACAGTTAGAGTACCACTGGTGATCTACACTGGGGGAGAGGGAGAAGTAGAAGACTGCTTGCAGAGTGCTTTGAGTTAATGGAAGATAAGACAGGAGACCCCGAGTTCAGTCCTTCAGCAAGCTATCTGGCTGTGTCTAGAAAGAATTGAATAATGTATCATGATGAAAGTCGTGCAACTCAGAATACACTAAAAACATTGAGTTGTACATTTTAAAAGGGTGAATTGTGTGGCATGTGAGTTGTATCTCAATAAAGCTGTTTCAAGAAAAGGTAAAACACTGGCTATCTGTTTTACATATGGTAATGTATATGTTTCAATGCTATTCTCTCCAATCATCCCACCTTCTCAACTCCTCCCACTGAGTCCAAAAGTCTGTTCTTTATGTCTGTGTCTCCTGGAGGGGTGGTGTAAGGAGGGAGGTGGGGGGCAGTTCAAGAGGGACAGGACACATGTATGCCTATGGCCGATTCATGTTGATGTGTGGCAAAAGCCACCACAATATTGTAAAGTAATTACCCTCCAATTAAAATAAATAAATAAATTTTAAGTGAAAGAGGGGAAAAAAGAAAAGGTATGGAGTAGGGTGAGAGCTAAAGTAGAGAAGGACACAGGTAAGGGGAAGAGTTGAGTGTACGCATGTGCTTAATGGCAAAAGCCCATGGAAAGTATGAGCTTAAAGAGGCATGTTGTGAGGGTTCTGAGAAGGAGAGGAGAGCACCACCTGAGCACAGGGGCTCAGATAAGCCCCCAAAGGGAAGGGAGCTCAGGATGGCAGGGGAAAGATGGGGATGGAGTAGATGTAGGTCTGTTTGTGGGTGTGGAGGGCTCAGAAGTTGCCTGAGTTCCCACTAATGGCTTCTCTTTCCTGTGAAGCAGAGGTAAGACTTCTGAGAGTGAAGAAAGCCATCTGTCCTGCCTCCCTCTCCATCTGGGATCCTCCGTAATTTACAAGAAGGTGCCTCCATAGACTTAAGTCTCTGGCCAGAGGTATTGAGGGTAGAGGTGTTTCCTCACCCCATCCCTGCCCCCAACCAACCACAGCCAACCCCTGGGGCCCTCGCAAAAGGCAAAGTCCACAGGCCACATCCTGACAGCTAACTGGGTTCTGGTTTAACTTTAACCCCTCATTTATCAACCTCTCTGTAAACACAATTGAGTCTTTACTCTCCTCCTCACCAACGGCCTTAATACACACTGTTTACCAGAATAAAGAACCTTGGATCAGAAACTCCCTCTCTTTTTGGTTCTTTCCCCTCCTGTTTCCTTTGTTCTTGCTGTCTCTCACCAGCTCAGGAGCATCTTCCCTTCTACTACAGAACATAGAGCATCTCCCTTGAAGCCAAGTCAAAACGACCCCAATCCATCTCTGAGCTCCTGTGTCTTTAAACTGGTATGTTACAGAAACCATGGGTGAGGTTTGGCAGAGGGGTTGGCATTCACTCAATATTACCTTTTTTCCCTTGACCTACCATCAGGGAAGCACTAGGGTGAGGCAGGCAAGGTGCCCAGGGCACCACATTTAAGGAGGGATTACTCTCAAGGTCGTGCCAGCACAGGGTAGAGTGCTTGGTAAGTACGAGGCTCATCAGGGGCAGGCAGGTACAGGACCTGAGCGTGGTGCCTCCTTAAATTCTGCATCCCAGAAGCCTCTCCAGCTTCACCCTAGTACTGGCCCTGCCTACCAGCTATGCAGTCCCTCCTCCCCACCCGGCCAAATGTTACATACTTCGGGACTCTTTCAGGATCACTTGCAGCACAGTGGTTTTCCTGAATGTCAGGTTCCCCAGGTAGATACTGCAGGTGTAGTTTCCTCCATCTGACTCCTTCACTCCGTGGAGCATCATAGAGCCATCATTGCGGGAAGTGTCTCCCACCAAGTTTACACGGTTCAGGAAGCGGCCCCAGTTCTGGGGCGCCCTGAGTTTGGGTTGATAGCGCAACACAATCTCCTCCTAGACGGGAAAGGTAAAATGTATGAGACTAAAGAACTGGGGTTGGAGGGAGCTCTTGGGCCCCTGTGTGTAGAAGCAGTAAAGGTATCATCAGAAAGTATCAGAAAACACAAAGTCATGGACACATGTGTCCACACCAACCTCCCAGCTGCTCCTTGAGTGCTGGCCTCAGGGCCTTTGCACTTGCTGCTCCCTATGCCTGGAACACTCTTCCCACCTAGACAGACACATGGTTGCCTCCTTCACTTCTCCGAGACCTCTACTTAAATGTTACCTTTTTGGTGAGGCCTCCCTGATTACCTACATAAAATATCAATCACAAAAGCCTACTTTCTTGCTCTCCATAGCTCTTACTTATGTTACCTGACATACTGTGTATATATTTCTTCATTATTACTATTATTATTTGGTTGCATTGGGTGTTAGTTGCCCCACCGCATGTGGGATCTTAGTTCCCTGACCAGGGATCAAACCAGTGTCCCTGCATTGCAAGACAAATTCTTAACCACTGGACCACCAGGGAAATTCCTATTTATTCATTATTTTTCTATGTATCTCCCTCCATCTTGATTGTAAGTCTCCCACCAGGGCAGGAGCTTTGAGTGTTCACCATACAACAGATGCTTTAAAAATACTTGTTAGATAAAAAAGTGTCAGAATTTTTCATAAAGGTATATAAATACCACTATTTTTTAGAAGTTTTTAAGAACAGGAAATGAGGATACAGACACAAATATGAATGAAAAGACCTGCACCTAACCTGTTGTCTCTTGTGATTCAAATTCATAACTCACAAATGTCAACTATCATCCTATGTTCTGCAGTGACTCAGTTTGGTGGATGACATTTAAATATACAATGAGTACCCAGAGGTGAACCTGAAACTACATGTAATTCCCAGACCCCACCATGAAGCCATCCTTTCTGATCCACTCAGACAGCATGTAGGAATCAACTGAGTATAAATGACATTTTGTACGGATGACCTAGAATATGTCTTCATTTGTAAAAGCTAAATCTTTTCTAAGCTTTGTACCTTAACTTTTATTAAAAATAAGTTATGTGGGATGTCTCTCAAGACACAGCTTGACTCATCAGGACATCACCATGCCATAGTTGACATCTACTGGTCTAATGAGCTAACCTGCTGATTACTGCTTCAGAGTTCCTGTGAAGAAGCCTCCTCATCTTGGCCTCCAGGACTACTAATCCCAACATTCAACACATTCATGAAGACAAAGAAAATCCCATCACATAAATGGGGTGAAGGGGCGCAAAAGAAAACTCACAAAAATAACCCAAATAAGACAATCATTCTTATGCCTAACCCACTGCTTTCCTGGCTAGGTCACCAAAATCATTCCCCCTTGTTACTCCATGAATTCTATAAAAAGGAAAAGAAAGAGAAAGGATAAAACCAAGATGCAGTAGCCAAGTCATGAACCAATGTTCTACATCACCATGTCCTAGATGCATCTTGACAACCCAAAAAGTTGAGCAGTAGCAACATCTACTTCTTCATCATCTTCATTAGTCATTTTTCCCAGCTGGAAGCTGAAATTGCCCAGCCAAGCTAAGAGGCCCAGTTTTTTTTTTTAACAAACTCCAAAGTCCAAGCCCTCATGAGACCACCATGTGGCACCTGATGCCTAGGTTCTTGCTGTCCCCACTCTGTCCTGACACCATTGGCCAGGGGCTTCTTCTACACAACAAGGGCTTCTCCTCCTTACCTTGGCAGGCTCTCCTGATGAGAACATCCAGTCTACCCTGCTCATGTGCTTCTCTTCTGTGCTATGGAAAACACATCCCATCTGAGTCGAATCACCCACATGAACCATGAGCTCTGGGGATAAAATGATAAATCAAGTCAAACTCAAAGTATAATCTCTAGAAGCCAAAGAACTTCTGGAGGAGATCATGTTTAGCCAAACATCCTCAGCAGTAACATCAATGTCACCACCACATACTGCACACTTTCCCCCTGTGTGGTCAGAATATTCAGAGGCCTCTCATCAAACCAACACAATACCCCAAGGATAAGAGAGTACCCTCTAGCTGCCAACACACATCAAGTCTGAAGGGTCCCACTGACATCAATAAACACTTTCTGGCTTCTCTTTAATTCCTTTCTCCTTCTCCTTTTCTAGAACTTCTCCCACAAGCCCCAACTTCACTTCAAGCCTGTAACAAAGAATGGAAAACCATGAAGCCCTCCACTTTCTGTTTACCAACTTGGGTACCCACATCTGCTTCACAGAAACAGGAAGTAGAAATAACTCTCATTCTTATAAGTAACCCACTGGCTTTCCCAGGTGAAAAACTGAATCATGGGTGACTCTCTTCAACTTAATTCTTTTACAAGTTGTCTTAGGACTTGCTTAGGACAATTCTGGCTAGACTACAGGTCACAGGACTGCTTGCTAATTAGGGCAAACAACAGACAGTTTTCCTTTTGACTTTTCTATCTTATTCCCTGCCCCCACTTCCCCACCTGTTCCCCCTTCCACACCTGCTCCCCCTTCCCCTCATTCTTGGCTTCCCAACTCATAGTCTCTTCCTCCTGCTTATTTGATCTCATCATATGTTTACTGCTTATGTTATTTTAAAAAGTCCCTGAAAAAGAAAACAATTAGAAAGATGCTTCAGATTTTTCAACAGTGCTCTATATAAATCAACTGAAAAGTCAGTCAAGAAATGAAAGGCAGGATGGTATTTAAGGGAGACACAAGTCTAGGTCTTATTTGGACAGAGTTCCTTCAAAAGAGCATTGAGCAAAGCTCACAAAGCAACACAGTACATCAGCTAACTTTTTCATCCAAATTGTGTCCCTGGGAGAACACTAACTTCCCGCTCAGCAGGAAAGATGTACAATGGGAGGAAAGCAAAAGAAAATATTATGAACTTGGAGCTCTATGGAGGGAATTATTTTGGAAGTAATAAAAATTAACTCCAAAGAATATCAATAGCGAAGGAAACGCCCTCTAAATCTATGAGTATATCAAGACTTGAACCCTATGTTTTAAATGCAATAATAAGAACTAAATATTCTGAATTCTTTCAACACACCAGACATGTGCTAGACACCGAGGTTATCACCTAGTCATTACAATATTTTGAGATATGCACTATTATCCTCCCATTTCACAGAGGAAGAAACTGAATGAGCCCAGCGCTTCATGGCCAGTAAAAGGTAGAGCAGAACTCACACCCAGGCCTGAGTGAAAACAAAGCCCACATGTTCTCGCTCCCTTTACTGTTACCACCTCACAGAAGTGGAAAGATGACTGATTCTAGAGCAAAAGTACAGGAAGTTAACATTATTTTTACTTGTAAGAAAACTGTCTATACAACTGAAATTTGTCTTTCAAATATTAGGAACTTTCTCTAAATTAAAATTTAAAGCCTGTCAGATGTGACTCTAAAACATGGACTTTTAATTATTTCATTATATTCCCTCCTTTCTAGTATCATCAGTTCAGTTCAGTCGCTCAGTTGTGTCCGACTCTTTGCAACCCCATGGACTGCAGTATGCCAGGCTTCCCTGTCCATCACCAACTCCCAGAGCTTACTCAAACTCATGTCCATCGAGTCAGTGATGCCATCCAACCATCTCATCCTCTGTCGTCCCCTTCTCCTCCTGCCTTCAATCTTTCCCAGCAACAGGGTCTTTTCCATTGAGTCAGTTCTTCGCATCAGGTGGCCAAAGTATTGGAGTTTCAGCTTCAGCATCAGTCCTTCCAATGAATATTCAGGACTAATTTCCTTTAGGATTGACAGATTTGATCTCCTTTCAGTCCAAGGGACTCTCAAGAGTCTTCTCCAACAACACAGTTCAAAAGCATCAATTCTTTAGCACTCAGCTTTCTTTATGGTCCAACTCTCACATCCATACATGACTACTGGAAAAACCATAGCTTTGACTAGGTGGACCTTTGTGGGCTTTTTCTAGTATCGTGGGGCTTTCCTGATAGCTCAGTTGATAAAGAATCTGCCTGCAATGCTGGAGACCCCAGTTCAATTCCTGGGTTGGGAAGATCAGCTGGAGAAGGGATAGACTACCCACTCCAGTATTCCTGGGCTTCCCTTGTGGCTCAGGTGGTAAAGAATCCACCTGCAATGTGGAAGACCTGGGTTTGATCCCTGGGTTGGGAAGATCCCCTGGAGAAGGAAAAGGCTACCCACTCCAGTATTCTGGCCTGGACAATTCCAGGGACTGTATAGTCCATGGGGTCGCAAAGAGTCGGACATGACTGAGCGACTTTCACTTTCACCTTCACTTTCTTTCTTTCTAGTATCACAGGCCTTCATAAATTGAGAAGAGATCCGAATAGAATAAAAATAACTAGAGTAATGAAGTAATGGTGTTGAAGCTGAAACTCCAGTACTTTGGCCACCTGATGTGAAGAGCTGACTCATTTGAAAAGGCCCTGATTGATTGAAGGTGGGAGGAGAAGGGGATGACAGAGGATGAGATGGTTGGATGGCATCACCGACTCAATGGGCATGAGTTTGAGTAAACTCCGGGAGTTGGTGATGGACAGGGAGGTCTGGTGTGCTGCAGTCCATGGGGTCTCAAAGAGTCAGACAGGACTGAGCGGCTGAACTGAACTGAACCGAACTGAATGAAGTTAGGATCCAGAAGTCACCTAAAACTCACCTACTGCGCCACCTACCACGTGCATGAGTCTCTTCAATAGGAGTATTTTCTCTCCCTGAACAACGTATTTTCCAAAATGCTAAAGCAAACTCAAAACATTGTTCAGGCAATTCATCTGCTATGAAAACCATTTTGCATCTTAAAAATACAGATCATATGATTGAAATAATATGCACATGCTTGAGTAACAATTACTTTTGTTCTCTTTATACATCTCATTAACTATTACATATCTATACAGTATAATTATATAATCTGTGAACACACACATTCAGATGCCTTAAAATCCTTTCACAGAATACAAGGAAGCAAATTCTTTAAAAAAAAGAGAGAGAGAGAAAAGAAAAGAAAAAGAAAACTGTCTCTAGCTTGTAAAATAAGAACTATGAGTAAAAGAGTTGAAGTAGTAGAAAGACGGAAGAATTACAAACTGAAGAGTAAACTTCGTGGAGGAAGCTGTACATGAGTTTCCACGTGGGAGGAGATGGCCACCAGGCAAATGGCTAACACTCAGAGCTATTCCCACTCTGGCTGGAAGGAAAAAGTAAATACAAGTTGCCCTACTGGCTACTGGGAAATATCTGCCTCCCCTAACATTGCTCTAGCCTACTCCCATGGACTCAACTCTTAAAATTGCCTCCTTTGGATTTGTCCCCTCTGTCTCTCTTCTAAGCAGGAAAAGGCACCATTTTGTAGGACATGCTTGCATGTTCTCAAGGCCAGCATCAGAGAAGAAGAAAGGAGTAACTCAAAGATAATCCTTGGGAGACACAGGTAACTGGTTCATTTCTTCTTCCTGGAGAGCCCTAGCTTTGAAATCAAAAGAAAAAAAATGCAATTGATAAAAAGTATTAATATGAAGGTAGGAGTGACGTCAGAGGCCACTTTCCACAATTCCTACTACCACTTCGTTTTTTTAGAAATCAGATTCAAGTGAGAGATGCTAATTTAAGGACTTCATTCATTTGACGAATGTTTATTGACTGCGTTCTGTGTCAGGTGCTGTGCCTGGGGCGGTCCATGGGACAAGAACACAGATGCAGGTGGACAGGGGAGACACACCTGAACAGGTGTGAGGAGTGCATCACCAGAGAGAGCTGGGTGCTTCAAAGGAGCTCACTGAAAGGACAGACCTAAGCAAGCTGGCTGGGAGTGGGATCTAAATCCTAGCTCCCGCACTAGACAGCAAGCTCTCCTGAGGCCATAGACTGTTCTTCCATTTCGCACTTTTTTGTTGTTGTTTTCTTTTTTTCAATTTTTTATTTTTGGTCGCACTGGGTCTTCATTGCTGTGTGGAGCCTCATTCTAGTTGTGGCGAGCGGAAGCCGCCCTCTATTTGCACTGTGCAGGCTTCTCACACTTGTGGCTTCTCTTGCTGCAGAGCATGGGCTCTAGGGTGCACAGGCCTCAGTAGCTGTGGCGCACAGACTTAGTTGCCCTGCAGCATGTGAAACCTTCTGGGACCAGGAGTCAAGCCCGTGTCCCCTGCACTAGCAGGTGGATTCTTATCCACTGTACCACCAGCCAAGTCCCCATTTCACACGTTTAAAGAGTATACCTAATTCTGTGATTTTCAAACTTTTTAAAGGAGCAGAATTCTTTCTTCAAACAAAATCTTACCTGGCAGTCCAAGAATACAACAGGAAAAAGGAAGAGGACTCTGCTGTAGTGGAGGTGGAGACCTGAGGCCCTGGCAAATGCCTTCTTCTCACCCTGTGTGGCCCACCAGCTCCCTTGGACCCTAAGTGTTCTACAGAGCATGTTTTTTAAAACCAACAAACTACTGACGCTATTTATAAATAGGAACATGAGGTCCTAGGAAGTTAGGGAAACCTGCTCATTTCTTTTATATCCCCCAGAACACAACATAAAGTGAAAGAAAAGTGAAAGTGAAGTCGCTCAGTCATGTCCGACTCTTTGCGACCCCATGGACAGTAGCCTGCGCCAGGCTCCTCCATCCATGGGATTTTCTAGACAAGAGTACTGGAGTGGGTTGCCATTTCTTTCTCCAGGGAATCTTCCCCGACCCAAGGAGAGAACCAAAGTCTCCTGCATTGTAGACAGACGCTTTACCATCTGAGCCACCAGGGAAGTCATAGTTACCTATTAAATATGGAGACAACATCAATCTGCAAAATTTATAGGGAGTATCAGGGTATAGTGAAAAGAACATGAACTATGTTGACAGAGGTACCAGGGTCCAAGTATTGAATATGCCATTTAATAAATATATCTCCTCAGGCAAGTCACTTAACCTCTCTAAGCCTCAGTTAACACGTCTATAAAATGAAAAGGAGAACACAGTACTTCCTTCACAGAATTTTCATAAGGATGAAATATGTTTAAAGTAATGATAAAATAATGATCATCAGAATTTTTATTTAAAGAGCACCACTGGGACTTCCCTAGAGGTCCAGTGGTTAAGAATCTGCCTGCCAATGCAGGGGACACAGGTTCAATCCCTGGTCTGGGAATTCAGATCCCACATGCCATGGGGCAACTAAGCCCATGCACCACAACTACTGAGGCCATGCACTAGAGCTCATGGTCCACAACAAGAGAAGTCACCTCAACAAGGAGTCTGCACACCACAAGTAGAGAGTAGCCCAGCAACAAAGACCCAGCGCAGCCAAAAATAATAAATAGATAATATTTTTTTAATCCTCTATGGTTACTTCAAAAACTAATAATAAATAGCAAGCACCATTTATTGAGGACTCACTTTGTGGTAAGTACCTAGCCCACTGACTGGCATTTGCTCAACAAAATCAGTTCACATCCATCTTTGCACACCAAATCTCTTGCCCTTTGCCCTTCTCTGAGTAAGCATTCATGTTACCTTTGGGTTCCTCTGGTAGTACATGCAGAACAATCACTTTTTTGAACACAAGGCTCTCCATCTGGAAGCGGATTTCACAGGTAAAGTTTCCTTGGTCGGTCTCTTCCACGTTTTGGAGCAGGAGGGAACCGTCATGGTGTGAGATGTCCCCCACCAAGCGCACACGATTCTGGAAGCGCCCCAAAGGCACGCTGATGTTGGAGTAATAGTAGAGCACATACTCATCCTGGAGGGCAGCACAACATCAGAGGAAATCTCAAGCCCATGGCACCAGACCCAGAAGTCTGGGTTCAAAAGCCCCTGCTCCATGGAGGCAGCATAGTCATCACCACCATTGGGATCAAAAAAGTACTTGGTATCCAATTAAGAAGAAGAAGAATGTGCCAGACAATACATTAACTGACACAAGACTCTGTAGTTTCTATTAGACAAAGACAATTGGAGAAACAGGGTGAATACATTTTTGTTTCTTATAGTTTAAGGTAAAATGTAACACCTGCTTTGAAATCACTTTGGGGATTCAAACTCACCACTTGTAGTGTTTGTTTGGCCATGCTGCACAGCATGTGGGATCTTAGTTTTCCAACCAGGGATCGCACCTGGACTCTAAGCAGTGAGAGTGCAGAGTTCTAACCACAGGACCTCCAGGGAATTCCACAAACTCACAACTTTTGAAAAGTACCTCCATGGCCCCTGGATTTGATGGCGTCTAAATGCAATCCCACAGACTGGCTGTTGTAAGAATTCCTGCCATGTTGGCTGGCACCCCTCTCCTTTCCACCCTCCTCCAGGCAGCACATCATAAGGCATGAGAAGGAATCACCAAAGGAAATGGTTTACAGACTGGAGGGAGGAACCACAGGGAATTCTTATTTTCACTTAGACCATGGGTATACCCCTCTTATAACAATAAACAGTCAGGTGGCTAAAACTTCACCTTCCAAAGCAGAGGGTGAGGAGGGTTCAATCCCTGGTCAGGGATTAAGATCCCACATGTCTTGGGGCCAAAAAATCAAAACATAAAACAGAAGCAATATTGTAACAAATTCAACAAAGATTTTAAAAATGGTCCGCAGGGGGAAAAAAAAATTCTTTGAAAAAAGTAAATAGTAACAAAAATTTGAGTGACATTAACATTATGGAAATAACATGCTCTGAGCTACTGGAACAATATTTCATTTGAAAACCTTAGGACTTTATTGCTAGTCATACATTACTTGGAGTATATTTCACAAATGAGCCTGATACACAAGTATCTCCACAGAATCTCAGATGAGGCTTCATACACTTTTGCTAATCCAAAGAGCTCCCTCACTCAGCCATGCTGAACCTGCCAATCCTAACAGTTTAAGCAGCCATGAAGGAGAAAGAGATGATTCCCCAGCACTTAAATGGATCAGCAGAATGCTGAAAGAATCTTCACCCTCCTCAAAGATTGCTGTGACATCATTCCTGTGCCTGGGCCATAACTCTTTCTGTCTAGACCAATGTGTTTTCATTCTTCTCACCCCTCCCACCCACCTATGCTACTCCACAAATGGGAGAAACAGAGGAAAGAAAAGAAACTAAAAGAACTTTATGTGTATGTCTCCCATTAGTTTCTCAATGACCTAAAAAGTAAGCATTGCCATTATTCACAGATGGGGACATGAAGCTCAGAGAGGTTGAGTAACTTGCCCAGCTGACTGTAATCAGCTGTGTACAGCCAAGAGACCAAACTAAAAGGAGGCTCAGTTCTGGTGAGCTCCAGAACCCAAGTCCTGAAACCCCACCTCATGACTCGGGATGACCCGATTCTCCCTCTCCCCACAGTCTGACATCATTGGCCAGGGGCTTCTAATACACAGCAGGGTTTCCCCCTTGTTACCTTTTTTTTTTTTTTCCATTTATTTTTATTAGTTGGAGGCTAATTACTTTACAACATTGCAGTGGTTTTTGTCATACATTGAAATGAATTAGCCATGGATTTACATGTATTCCCCATCCCGGTCCCCCTTGTTACCTTGACGTGCTCTCCTGATAAAAACAGCCAGTCTACCTTGGTCACATGTTTCTCTCCTGTGCTCTGAGAAACACATCCCAGAAGGGCCGAGTCACCCACGTGGACTGTTAGCTCCATGGCAGAAATAGTCAAGTCATTCAGGCCCAACGAATAACCTAGAGAAGGCAAAAGGCAAGAGAGACATCATCAGACAAACACACTCAACAACAAAAACTAGTATTAATCTCTAAGTAGATGCAGACTTTCCTGGTGGCTCAGATGGTAAAGAATCTGCCTGCAATGCAGGATTCCCGGGTTCAATCCCTGGGTCAAGAAAATCCCCTGGAGAAGGGAATGGTTACCCACTCCAGTATTCTTGCCTGGAGAAGTCCAGGGACAGAGGAGCCTGGTGGGCTATAGTCAATGGGGTCACAAAGAGTCTGACATAACTAAGCGACTAACATCTTCCCTCTCCAGATGACCCAACGTGAACAAGGTATTCAGAGGCCTTTAATTCAACCCAGTGTGGTATTCCCAAGGGTAAGAAAAATGCCCTGTGGTTGCCCCCATGTAGCTCAAGTCAGAGGACCTGTACATACTGTCCTATGCTCCTAGCTAGACCCTCCCTCTTTTCTAGACTTCATCCCTGAAATCTCCTTTCTAAAGAAAGAAGAGAGGGAATTCCTTGGCAATTCAGTAGATAGGACTCTGCTTTCACTGCTGAGGGCACAGGTTCAATCCCTGGTCGGGGAACTAAGATCCTACAAGGCACATAGCAAGGCTAAAAAAGCAAAATAAAAACAAGAAAAAGAAGAGAAACCCTGAAATCTCTCCCTTGAGGTCATGAATTTAGACACCTATAAGCAGGTAATGTGATATCTCTGGCTCCTGGTTTCCTACCAGCCCCCTAACTGAAAGGCCAGTTCACAGGTAACTTTGCTTCCCTCAGTTTTTCTCCTTTTTTCGTTCCTCTACAAAAGCTTATCTCTGAATGTGCTGGCTGATTCTGGCTGTAGTGCAGATCTTTGTAATTAGGTCAATACAGAGCACGGTTCCTCCCTTGAATTTCCTTTGTTTGCTTTCTCCCCACCTGCCCTCTCTAGTTCTGCCCTCAGTCTGGCTTTCCAGCCTCTAGGGGTTAGTCTACATCATACCCCTCCAATATCTGTCCCTTGTTCAAGTAATTTCTCTTTTCACTTAAAAAGAAACCATTTCTAAAGAGAAAACCATCACATGGATTTTTTCTGTTTTCACAAGACATGCTCTGTGCAAAGAGACAACCACAGCAAGACACAATCAGATGTTGGCCAGTTCCCATCAAAGAAGAGCCAAGTGAATGGATTTGGGTATAAACAGAAAATGCACCAGCCTTTCCATCCAAGCTGTTGTCCCAAGAGAAGAGTGTTAACTTCCTGCCCAACAGCAGGCACACACAGTGGGGAAGAGGGGCAAGAAAACATGAACTCGCCACCCACTGGAGGGAATTATTTTGAAAGAAATCAAAAGTACCTCCAAAAATGATTTGGAATTTTCCTGTAAGGAAGAACTGAGCAGCTTCAAGTGTGGTTAAAGGGATAAGAAACTATTTAATGTGATATGAAGAGTGCTGACTGTAGAATTAAATGAGCTTGCTAGATGGTAAGAGCAGCAAGCAAAGCAGAGAGAAACTTAGACTTGACAGGTAGTCTTTGTATAGAAATAGCTGAAGAAATCAAGACTTGTCTACAGAGGAGGAAAACCTCTCCATCAGGAAGTACAATCCTGGTCGCCCAGTGTCACCAGGCCACTCCACAGGGGGTTAGATTGCTAAGTCTCTGATGGAAGGGCAAAATGCTGCAGGCTGCTTCACCCATCTCTGGAAAGAAAAGAAAGTGAAAGTGAAAGTCGCTCACAACCCCATGGACTAAACAGTCCATGGAATTCTCCAGGCCAGAATACTGGAGGGGCTAGCCATTCCCTTCTCCAGGGGATCTTCCCAACCCAGGGATCAAACCCAGGTCTCCTGCATTGCAGGCAGATTCTTTACCAACTGAGCTATCAGGGAAGCCCCTGAGATGATTATAACCCTGATTCCATGATGAAAAAATTTCTCTAATATGGACTATTTTCTTGTATGTGCACATGTCTAACTGCATGTGTGTGCAAATGCTATGTTGCCTGGAATTAAAGCAAAAACCATTCTTTTGTGCACTTTGCTGAGTCATTCTTTAGGTCACCATGCAAAGTCCAAAAAGCTAATAAAAAAGAGAAAAATGGAATGGATAAACAACAAAGTCTTACTGAATAGCACAGGGAACAACAGTCAATATCCTGTGATAAACCATAATAGAAAAGAATATGAAAAAGTATGTATATATGTATAACTGAATTGCTTTGCTACACAGCAGAAATTAACACAACATTATAAATCAACTATACTTGAACAAAATAAAAAGTTTTGGACTTCCCTAGTGGTCCAGTGGCTAAGACTCTGAGCTCCCAATGCAGGGACCTTGGGTTCAATCCCTCAACAGGGAACTGGATCCCACATGCCACAACTAAAGACCCCGAGTGCTGCAATTCAGGCCCAATGAAGCCAAATAAATAGAATAAATTTTAAAATAAAATTCAAAAAAAAATTTTTTAAGAAAACAAATTTAAAAGTCATGAGAGTAAAGCACCTAATTAATTTATTCTTCGGACAGAGCCATGTCCATGGGATAAAGAGAGAGATAAGGGGCTAAAGGATGAAAGGGGGCTAAAGGATAAAAAGACAATGGATGAGCAAGAAGCAGCAGGCTTGAGCACTGTAGGAACAGGAGACTCCAACTCAGTTCAAGGAGGCAACCAGAGCAGGCTTTTTAAAGGGAAGTAGAGGAAGGCGAGGGTGGGATGTTTCAAGAGAACAGCATCGAAACATGTATATTATCTAGGGTGAAACAGATCACCAGCCCAGGTTGGATGCATGAGACAAGTGCTTGGACCCGGTGCACTGGGAAGACCCAGAGGGATAGGGTAGAGAGGGAGGTGGGAGGGGGGATCGGGATGGGGAATACATGTAAATCCATGGCTAATTCATGTAAATGTATGACAAAAACCACTACAATATTGTAAAGTAATTAGCCTCCAACTAATAAAAATAAATGGAAAAAAAAAATAAAGGGAAGTAGAGCTTACGGAGAACACTGAAGGCTTAGGCAGGCTTACTAGGGTGAAGTGGAGAGAGAAGGTACTAGACAAAAGAAACTGTTAAAAATTGGGCAAGAGCTCAGTGCATTTGAGGAACTGCAAGAAGGCTGGCATGGCTAATGCAGGAAAACAGTTACAGGGACTTAAGGACTCTCTTGATGATTTCATTTCCTGATCTGCAACAAGATGTGGTTTTAAAGATAACAGTTGAAGGTGCAGGAATGCCAGTAAGAAACTTTCTTCATATTCTGTAGGAAGGTTGTAGAACACCCAGTCAGGACCAAAAAGCATTCTGTTTCTAATAGAAACAGAGGAATATTCAGCTTTCCAAGAAAGAGTCTGCCACCTGGCTTCTAAAACAACTGTTTCAACAAAACTATAAAGTTCCAGGCTGGGGTTTCCGTTTTCAGCAAAGCAAGGGGAAATGAAAATACATATAATTGACTTCTGAACACACATGAGACTAGAAAGAAATCAAATACCCTCCTTGGTCCCTTGGCTTCTACTTACCCAGTAACACTGGCATCAGGATGACTTTCAGTGGGTAAAACATGCTGTTGTCAATTTTTCAATCTTAAAACAAAAAAAATCAGAAAATAGTGTTAGGAGGAGTTCATTCATTTAACCAATCAATAGTGAGTACCTCTGTGAGCCAGCCTTTCTCTGAAGCACTAGGATGCAGCATGGAACAAGGAAGACAAGGTCCTAGGTCACATGCAGTTTGCATGTGTTAGGGAAATGGAGAGAAAAAAGCAGCAAATGAATGAATAAGAAACAGCAGATGCTGGTAACCGCTATGATAAAACAGAGTGGTGTTTGGAGAGTCACTTGGGGGCTGCCTCAGATTGGCTGTAAGGGAAGATTATATGAAAGTTGCTTTTCGAGAGAATAAAAGCAAATATTTCCAGGATAACCTTGAGATGACAACCTTAAACAATCTATAGTCTGAGAGTTTCATGGAAATGAAAGATTACAGGATACTCAGCCTGAAATGTTTACCTGTATCTCCAACTAAATTAAAACAACTACCTTAAAAATATAAAAAACATTCTGAACATGTAAGAAAGGAGATACACAAATAAGGTGGAGATTTTTAAACTCAGCTAAGGCATTCACCAAGTTCTATGACACAAAGAAGGCACTTGAAAGGTCCATGGCAAGATTTTATTTTTTCACTTTTTCAGGCAGGATAGCGTGAGTAGAAGGAGAATTGAGCTGTACATGGGCAAAAGTACTTTAAAAGCATCTCTATTATCTCTGTGGTATAAATATCACTGCATCCACCATTTCCTGGGAATAGATTTACTGTTCTACACAAAGCCCCACAGTTTTCTTAACAAAACAGAAATACCTTAACTCCAAAGAGTCACAATTCAACCAACCTTAGGCTCCGACCTACCACTGTGGTGGGCCTCAGCCATGATCTCTGAACCCTTAACACCCTGGAGTAATTCCACCTCAGAATTTGCTGAAAGGAAAGGTTTTCTTGGCGTATTAATATCATATTACCCTAGCCAGCTCTGCTGGAAGTCCAGCACATTTATGGTGGCCATTTCAACTTATAAAAAAATGATTACCTAACGGTTTCTTATCTGAATTTTAATCAACAAAATTCTCCATCTGGGTCTTCCCTGGTGGCTCAGTGGTAAAGAATCTGCCTGCCAATGCAGGAGACATGAGTTCAATCCCTGATCTGGGAAGACCCCACGTGCCGCAGGGCAGCTAAGTCCAGACGCCACAACTCTGTGCTCCAGAGCCTGGGGGCCACAGCTGCTGAAGCATGCGTACCCAGAGTGCGTGCTCCATCAGAGAAGCCACAACAATGAGAAGTCAGCGCACCACAGTTAGAGAAAGCCCGTGCATAGCAACGAACACACAACACAGCCATAAATAAATAAAATCACTAAAAAAAAGTCTCCATCTGGAAAATCAGGGTCAAGCTTTTCAAGGCAGCCCTACCTAGGTCTTGCTTATGCAGAAAGTCAGTTGACCTTGATGAACCTCAATTTCCTCACCTATAACATGGGGATAATGACGCAAGAATCAGATGTAAGAATGTAGATTTCAGTGCTTTAAAAAATAGAAAGCATTACTATATAAGATCCTATTTTTTATAGCCTAAAAGTAATATAGGAAATAGAGTTATTACCTTTAGAGGAGATTTTGGACTCTGAGAATCTACCTTTACAAGAATGGCAAATGATGAATCAGAATGAACTGGAAACTTCTTAAGTTTCGGTTCTTGAATCCATTACAACAATGAAGATAACAATTACACTGACTCAGATCTACCAAAAGTCACATTAAGTTTTCCCAAATGTAAGTATTTCTAATGAAAATATAGATCTCTCTCAAGATAGCCACAGCGTGCTTTATTCCAGCTCTATGTAAGAGACAACCACCTTATCCCACACATACATCGCTGAGCATGAAAAGGGGCTTCCTGTATAGTATAACTTTAATTCATCATATCTGGGACAACTAAGATCCCTGTTGTATTCTGGATGAAAGTTTTCTCCAGGAAGTTGGTTGCGCTCCCTTCATTCCCCAGCAAATAGTTGTCCTATATTCCCCAAAGCAGTGCACTATTTGCACCAAGGAGTAATCATTGATTAGTGTAGACTTACCTACACCCTCAAGGGCAGGACCAAAACACATCTCATTTATAATTGTCCCATGCCTGTGCTATAGCACTGGTGAAGTGTCTGGCATATACTGGATATGTGCTGATAGCTGCCAATATACCCATCAAATTGAAATCAGCGTCGACATCCTGCAAATGCACCATTCTAAGAGGAAACCAGCGACCCCAAAAAGATTCTGAATCTAGTCACCAAACTCAAGACTCACCAAGCCACACCCAAACCTTTTTCAAACAAATTCTAAGAAATGTACCAACAATCTGGTAAATAGAAGATACCCATTTTCAGTCCTAAGTACTCAAAGACACCTTTAGAACTCTGTGTGAATGAATAGAGAAGCAATGACTTAACAGTAAAAGCATTACGTTTTTTAAAAGTTCTCTTCCCAGATCAGACATTCATTAACTAATTCTTTGATATTTGGGAAACCACTCCATCTCCTGGGCCTCCTTCTTCACATTAAAGGATCAGACATTTCCCCTCTAGTTCTAGCACCACATAGGAGTCAGTAGCTGACACTCATTAAACTAGAGAAGACTATGTGACACGCACTGAGTGCTCTGCCCATTAACCAATTTAATTCTCACAACCCTCTATGAGGTGTTACACATGAGGAAACTGAGGCACAAACTGGTGAAATGCTCTGCCTAACAACACAGAGCAAGTGGCAGAGCCAGGATTCAAACCGGGGTCTTCTGGATCAGAGACTGTGTCCTTACTACTATGGACGTCTCCTCCATGCATGTGAAAGTAATCAGTGTTTTAGAGCAAAGCTTCCCTGAACTTCATTTAACAAAACAAGATTAATCTGACCCCCCTGATTGAATGTTCTTCACACCCCCTGTCCCTAGTTAACTCCTGTTCATCTTTCAGATCTCAAATGTAATTTCATCAAGGAAACCTCTCCTGAAACACCCTATCCAGGGCACATCCTAGCCACATGTTTTAGTAGTACTATTATTTCTCTTCCTTTTAGGGCATTTGTCACAATTTCTAATTACCTATTTGCTTAAGTGCTTGTTTGAGTAAAGGCTTGTACTCCACCCTCACCCCCCAAGACTATAAGCTTCATGAGGGTAAGAGCCATGCTTATTGGCCAGTGCATCTCCAGCACCAGCACAGAGTAAGACCCAGAGTGAAAGTCCAGGGACCACTGATCAGATGAATTAATAAACACTTAAATGGGCCAAGAATGTGACTCAAGTCAAGTTTCAAGTTTCCTAGTTAGTTGGCAGATATTCAGAAATCCCTACCATGTAATACAGATAGATAAATAATAGACAGACAATCTTTTATATTTATATATATATATATACACATATAGTTCAGAATTTTGTTATTCAGATACATAATTTAGAATTCATATATGAATCTCAGTCTCTAAAAAAAATCTAACAAAAGCACTCAGATGAACCTTAAGCACCTTGATGGACTCCATCTGAATCTTCAACTCTGCCAGCTTCCTTCCCAGATGCTAATTTATCTTCTCACCAGCATGTTCTTGAGGTAATTCTGCATAATAAGTTATCTCATGTGTTGGTCAAATGTTTGGAGCTGAGCTCATGGTTCTTTCACAAGATAACTCTTGGCAAGTATCTTCTATCCCCCTTGGGGAGTTGTAACTATCAGGACCCCCTTTTCTATTATTAAAAATGTAAGGGAATTGTTGTCTTTGGCACAATTTTAACAGAAAAAAAACATCTTCAGAAAAGAGGCTCATGGCAATGAGATGACCACACAGTATGTGGAAATGACCTCCTCAATATTATAATATTACAGGACAAAATAAGGGAGATGAGCTTTCTCTCTCAGTCAAGTGTTTGCCCCTAGTACGGACAAGTGCCCACTGAGCCCACCCACAACCTCACCACCTTCCCTCAATCAGGCAATCATTACTCCTGCTCTCTCCTTTAGACCAGCTTCTATCTAAACCATCCTACTTTATCGTCCCTGAGATCCGGCTATGCCGATGGTGAGGCAAGCATGAACAACAGCCTAGCTCTCTTGGGAGGTTGAGGTTCCTGACTTCTTAAGGTTAAATATTGGCCCGTGTAGGATTGAGAGAAAAGAAACAGTTCAGGAAGTGTTCTGCCATGAGTCCAAGGAACAGCCAGCCACAGATGTACTTAAAGCCACAGGCAACTTAAAAGCTAAAGCTTATCACCATCATCATCATAATTTACTCTTTTATTAAGAGCAAACCTTACTGTTTTTTTCTCTGAGGATCTTAACATAGATTACTCTACACTGCAGAAAGGAAAACTGGACCCACTAGACTACCTTATGGCAGTCCTCCTGCAGAGGCTCACATTTCTAGGATTGCCCCACAGCCCAAAAGGATGGCCTTTAAATGAAAACCTTCAGAACCAGCCTTCTTCCGAGTGAGAAAAGTTCAAGTCACTGCTTAAGAAATACAAAGCAAAAAAAAAAAAAAGAAATACAAAGCAGGCGCTTACCCAAGATGATGAACACCAGGAGAACTCAATACCAGCAACTCAATTCTCCCACCACTGCAGTTCCCAAGTCCGACTGAAGACACTTCTGCCTGCACAGAAGGTCAGGCTCAGATCAAACCATATGCGTGCATCCTGAGGTGGCTGCTGCGACACAAACAGGAACCTCCAAATTAAGGTTCTCGTTTCAGTCAGCTGGCCTATTACTCAATTTTTATTTACACTTTCATTCTAAAATGAGGTAATAAATTCACCTTACTGAGGCAAGCCTCATGTTTCAGACCTCTGCAGGTGTCATCTCCTCTTCTAGGCGACAACCTCCTAGGATGGGATGTTGAATGGTCCCAGGTAAACAAGCTGAGAAATCAGCTTTGTGCAAACAAAATACATTTAAGATTAACACAAAACATTTTGCTCTGTATCTAAAATATAGCAATCTTGCAACTTTATTTTTCCTCTCAGTAGAGGGGCAATATAGCTAATCCCTGTTTCCAAAGATATGCTTGTCCCGTCCTCCAGCTCACCACCGAGGCATGTCAATCTTCCCTGACCATATGACATCAGCATTTCTAGCATACAAGAAGCATTTTATTCCTCAGAGAATCCCTTAAGTGACTTGGACATCCTAGATTAAAAACTCAAAGCTTCTTTGAATCAAGGTATCTTTTGCTTTCAAGTCACCACTTCAAAATAAGTGTTTTCAGTGCATACACCTTCAATCTTGCCTGCACTGGTTTGACTACACATGGGCATACTTGTTTTTTGAAACTTGTTCTGTATCATTTGACAAGTTGTTGAATGCTTGCTCTTCTCCAGGACTATGTCGCATGGTTCTTGAGAATGGGTATGCTGGTGAGCCAGCAATTGAGCAAATACCAGCAATGTGGTCTATTTTAGACTACCAACATTTTAACAGTTGTTAAAAATTCCTAAAAATTTAACAATCAAATCTTAAGGTGTGAGCTGGCTCCAGCACATCTCTGCAGAACACCTATGCAGATTTTTGCTGGGGTACGGCTCAGAGATGAATCATTACTGGGTGCTGAAAATCATAAGCCACCTCCCTTCTCTTTCACATGACAGCTCTAGTCCTGTATGTACACACACACCAAAAAGTAGCCAGAAAGTGCAAAGAAGTTTATTAACTATGATGTGGTAAAGATCTCAAGAGTTACGACGTCTGTGCATATGACCCAATAGTGCATATCCTCCTACAAAAATTGACAAACAAGAAACAAAGTGAAATGCAGCATTAACAGTCCAACACTAGAGTCAAAAGGATGGAGTTGCCTCTTCTAGGAGCAAAGTTTTAAATTGTGCAATTAAATGAGAGTCTTGTGCCCCACGCTATTGGTCTTCTTACAACTCCCCTTTGGAATCATAAGTGAGTGACACATAAGAACATGCGGACTCAGGATTTGGCCCCCAGAATTTTTTCTAAACAAAGACATGAAACATTCCCTCGTGAAGCACAGAGCCCAGTTTAAGGACTGCAGAGAATGTGCCCCCTAAGAAGCTTGAGGTACCAGGTCACATAGGAAACACAAAACATTTTATAAGTTCACATTTGGTAACAGAATTAAAAACTCAATGCATGAAACTCATAAGGCAATGTAGCCACAAGTAAAGACTTCAGCAGCCAAAGAAAAATTCTGAAAGGCTTTTAACCCCCTCTGAAGGTTCAGAATTCAATTCCCTTTCTAGACAAGGCTGGTCTCCATAAAGTGTGATAAGAACTCACAGAGAAGTAAAATGAAAAAAATAAAAAGAGAGAATAGCACCTTAGAAAATATTAAAACAGTAAGTTTAAAAAAAAAAAAAAACACTTTTTCTTCCTTTCATCCTTAAAAGTCTTAAAAGGCAGGTATATCCAAACACTGCTTTGTGCTTCTTTGAAGAAAAAAAAAGCTGTAACTCAGACCCCAATAAAAGGGCTGAAGAAGGAGACAGAGCGACCTTAAGACTGTGATGTGACCACAAACCCATGGAGCAGACTAGGTGGTCAACTTACTCTCCTACCCTGAAGGATTCCATCATTCAGTCACTTAAAAAGGAAGGGACTGGTTCAAACCCTGATCAAGGCTACAAAATAACATGACCAGGCATTCACACAGTACTATTTACCTAAAGTGATAAACATATCCCACTGGATGAATCCTTATAACATGCCTGAAGGGAAATTGCCAGAAAACTCAGTCAAAACTAGTCCTTCATTGAATGGGATATAACTTTACCTGGGTTCCTGTAACACCATCTCTTTCTCAAAGAATGAGGACCCACAAGAAGTCTATCTCACAACTAGATCTCTAACTTCAAATGTCCTAGAGCCCAAATTATCTACTCCTGTTGCTCAAACTGTTTTCCTTTCTGCATTGAGGTGTCAGACTAGACTGTCTCACTAGATTGGCCCCAGACAACCACATACTTAACAAGTAGCTCAAGAGTGTGAAACTTAACCACTGTAGATGCAGACTGACAATCTTGCTTCTGCCTCTTCTTTCTGATATGATCAGAGGTAAATTATAACATCTATTAACTAATCAGACTCTCTCATTAACGGACTAGATTAACATAAGAGGCCAGGCCAAATCTATGAGATGGAATAACCTAAATTTTTAAAAATAGATCTTGGCAAAAAAATATAAAAGTGATTTTTGTACAGCATACAATGTATTGTGCTACAATATGGAAACCTCCTGAGTCACCTAGCAAAGAATCATGGAAAGGGGCTACCCTGTTAAAAAAATCAAATTATGAGAGACATTTTTTGTCTCTCATAATTAAGAAGTGAACTCTATCCCTCTATTACAGAGGACTAGACAGTCAACTCTTCCTGATATGTCATACATATTTCTTAATGGCTTATAGAAAAATCCCATGTAAATTAATATTTGAAATAATTTGGTGCAGTAGAATGAAGGAAGTTGATAGAAAGTATCAAGAGACAGAAGAAGGAAGTATAAGTTGTGTACACCCTCACTTCCTTATCTCAAATATTATGCAAAAAAGGGATTGTAAATACCTTCTTTCACTCATATTTTCTGCATTTTAGAAGAAAATCTTGAAGAACAGCATAGGTTAAAAGATCATTTCATGGGAGGGGGGATCGGGATGGGGAACACATGTAAATCCATGGCTGATTCATGTCAATGTATGGCAAAAACCACTACAATATTGTAAAGTAATTAGCCTCCAACTAATAAAAATAAATGGAAAAAAAAAGATTATTTCATTGCAAATAACTGGTAAAGTTATTCTATTTATCCCCACTAAAAACCCTATGAAGAGTTTTTCTTGCCTCTGATCTGAAGTCAAGAAGGAAACCATAAACCACTCAGCTGTTAAGAAAGTAAAATAAAAAATTGCACCTAGTGAGAAAAAGAAGGGAACCCCTCTATCTCGGCATTTCTTAATTGTAAATTGTTGACAGTTTAATACTTTAAAAGCACAGTCAAATAAACCACTGACTCCTGATCCTACCAACTCTAAAAAACTGGGGTTATGCACTCCAAGCCTCCCAAACACAACTGATGATGAGATAATTAAACCAATGAGTATATGCTGTATGCTAACTGACAGCTGAAAATATTCATGGAGCAAAAAACAAAGAATAACTATCCCCAAAAAACATTTTGTCCAGGAGCATATCAGGAAGCTCTAAGATCCATTTCATTAAATACATATATATATATGCATCAGCAGTGTGGCCAACATCTAGGATTCTCCCTCATAAAAACTGGAAGAAAACACGTAATACATTCAAGAGCAAAGACTAAACAAAAAGTTATCTTTCTATTTAGGAAAAGAATTCCTTCATTCAATTAGAGTGTAAGTTATTTAACAGGGGTAGTTATGAGTCTCTTCTTAGAGTTTTTTAACAGTTTATAAATACAAAAAGAATATTTCTTCAATAAATAAGTCACTCCTAAAGTCTTTACTGATGACTTCCAGGATTCTCCACCATAATTGTCCAAGCCAGCTCCACTTCTCTGGGAGGCTTTAGCTGCCAGTGGAACAGAACATCTTGTTATCAGGTGACTCTTCTTCTATCATGCAAACTTTCATCAATATGTCTCTTCATAGTCTGAATCCTGGAAAGGAAAGAATAGTAGTTGCAGTGTGTATATGAAGTACATGCCACAGTCAGAATTCAGGTAAAGACCACACAGTAGGGCCCCCCAGATGGAACTCAGCTAGAGGCTTCATTAACAGTAAAATGGAATGGACTCAATCCACCTAAATTTACTAAGTATTTCAAATTTAATATATCCAGACTCAGCTCCTGATCTTTTGCCTAAAACTTGTTCCACTCACAGGCTTGTACATATTAGAAAATGGCAACTCTATTCTACCATTTGCTCAGGTCAAGAACTTTGGATTTATCCTTAACTCCTCTCATTTGTTCACAGACACATGCAACTCATCAAGAAGTCCTTCTGGCTTTACCTACAAACTATAACCAGAGAACAACCACTTCTCACCATCCCCACTATCACCATCTTGGTCCAGATCAACACCCTTTTCCCTCACCTCCATTATTGCTAAAGTCTCCTAAATGGACTGTGTTTCTGTCACGGTCCCTCACCACCTGTTTTCAACACAGAAGCCAGAATGACATTTTTACCACTTAAATCAGTTCAGTGTTCTCTTTGCAAAAACCTCCAGTGGATTCTGTTTCAGTAGGATTGAAAGTTTAGGTCATTACAGTCATGCAATGTTCTATAAAATATGACATCATCTCTCTGAAGAAATGCTATTCTTTGCCTTGCTCTCTTCATTCCTGCCACATTGGCCTCCATGCTGTTCCTAGAACATGCCAATCATGGCCCCTCCCCAGGGTCTTTGCACCGACCACTTCCTCTGCCTAGAATAATGCTCCTCCATGGTAGCCATGCCTCTTGCTTCTTGTTTTAGGTGTCTGTTTAAATATCATCTCAATGAGGTCCCCCCAACCATCCTATTTTTTTTTTTTTTTATGGCCACACCATGTGGGTTATGGGATCTTAGTTCTCCAACCAGGGATTGAACCTGGTCCACGACAGTGAAAGCATCTAATCCTAACCACTGGACCGCTAAGGAATTCCCCCAACCATCCTATTTAGTATCATACCCCCTTATCTAGCCATTCCATCTCCTTTTCTATTTTATTTTTTCTCTATAGCATGAAGCACTATCTGAAACACTATATCTTACTAATTTTAAAAAGATATAGTTAGTTATTATTTGTACCCTAACTTAAGAGAAGGTAACATTTCAACTGTGTCCTGAAGGATGAGACATAACTAACAATGTTGTGTAGTTTCAGGTGTACAGCAAAGTGATTTTTTCTTTTTAATTTTTATCTTATATTGGAATATAGTTGATTAACAATGCTGTATTAGTTTCAGAAAAATTATTCTTTTTCCTCTTTTTTTTTTTAGTTTTTATTTTATCTTGGAATATAGTTAATTAACAATATTGTGTTAGTTTCAGGACATTAGCTTATTTTGTGTTATCAAAATATTCAAATCCCAAAGGGTTTTAATTAGATTCTATCCACTGGCACTATCCACCTTTCTCTCATCAGAGAAGCCACTTATAATACTCAAGTACATGAGAGAAAGAAAGAGAGACAAAGAACACTATGATGAGTAACTGGGCTGCCGTCATCTGGCCAAGTGCTGAGCTCAGCAGTAAGTACAAAGAAGGCTCAAGCTTAAACCCCGAAATGACAGGTATGCTTCATATTGTATCATGAGTTGCTTTTGACCTGTTTTCAACAGTACCATATCAGAAAGCCTGTCCTCGTAGGATCCTGAGGCAGCCACGTAAGCCTACCAGTCACAGAAAGTGCTTTCCGCAATTTCAATCAAAACTCAAGCCTTCCAACATGGGTATTTCTTATGGACAAAACAATCGAGTCACCTAAACGGTGATATCACTCTTATTTCCTAGGAAAAACTGAGGCTCAGCCGAAAAGCTCAGTTCTACCAGCTTTGGGTTCAGCCAGTTCAGCCAGCTCTCCCAGTATGACTTTTGCAACACAGGACGCTCCTCTTTCAGGATGCGCCCCGTCAGCCAGCAGAGGCTGCCTACACAGTCCCCGCTTCCCTAACCTAAGGACACCACTCAGTGCCCACAAGACAGAAAATAAAATGATGGTTAGAACTGGGAAGGGTCCCCTGAGACTAAAATGCTTTGGGCAAAGGCCTTGGTTCATACTTTGCTGTAGACCTACCTGCATGCCCCTTGCTTCTCTGAGGACAAGGGCTTACCTTAATTAAGCAGGAAAATAAAGCATGAAGAGTGAACAGTGAAGCGGCACGGGCTTACCACACACTCAGCACAACGGACACAAAGCTTCGCCATGCAGTCACCCCCCTCCTGGTCAGTGCTGTAGAAAGAGGACAAACCAAACACGGGCAGTCACCATCCTCGGTAGCAATCCTTAAGAGGACAAGTGCTGAGGTCAGACGGGTGTGGCTTTAAATTCCAGTTCTGCCACTTACTAACAGGGTGACTGGGCAAATTATTTGAGCTCCAGGAGCCTGTTTCCTCATCTACAAAATGCAGGTATTACCATCTACACTGAAAGAATAGTGGTGAGGCGTATGTGCAAAATAAGCACACGTAAAATCATGGACCACAGTGCTTGGCACATAGTAAGTGATCAATATATAAGAGCTAATGGCAACTGCTCATTTAGAAATATACTCGGCATCAACCATGTCTGGGCACCGTCCCTTGAGCTCATGATTTCCTGAGGGTGAGAGACCCATTAGAACATAACAAGTATGTCACAATACAATGTGATAAATGTTTTCAGAGTTAAAGTCAAACTGCTGCGGCAGCAAAGGGGAGAGAGAGATTAATTTACCCTGAAAGAGTCAGGGAACTTCAAGAGAAGGAGAAGCTGCAGCAGGGTCTTGGAAGATAAGGAAGAGTTTTCCAGGCAAACAAGGGAAGGAGGGAGGGGAATCCAGGTGAGAGGGAAGCACATTGAAAAAAAAATTTTTAATATCTAAATAGGGCTTCCTTGGTGATCTAGTGATTAAGAATCTGCCTTGAAATGCAAGGGACACCAATTCAGTCCCTGGTCTGGGAAGATCCCACATGCTGTGAGGCAACTAGGCCCGTGTGCTACAACTACTGAGCCTATGCTCTAGAGCCTATGCTTTGCAACAACAGAAGCCACCACAGTGAGAAGCCCATGCACCACAACTAGAGAGGAGCCCCCGCTGGCTGCAACTAGAGAAAGCCTGTACACAGCAACAAAGACCCAGAGCAACCAAATAAATAATGTTTTTTTTTTTAAGATCTAAATGAGTATAGTCAGTTTGGAGAAGGAAACAGCTCACTGGAACCAATGAGAAGAAATAGCAAGAAACAATGCGATTCAGGGTTAGATTATAAGGAGGTCTTATTAGACCATGCTTAGAAATAGACATTTTAGTATTTTTTACCAAGAGTTCTTTGCCTTGTGGGAGGCCACAGATTCCTTTAAAGGGGACTCTTACCCCCATTATATAAATGTGTACATGCATACACACACATACACACACAGAGAAAGATTTTAGACTCTCTCAAAGTAAGATTTCTCTTCCAAGGTTCCAAGCCCCTGAAATAGACAAAATGGAGAATCAACAGAGTTTTATGTAGACTTTTGTTACCTTTTTTTTTTTTTTTAAGTGGATTTGTTCTTAGGGAAGATACTGGATCACACCTGCTCACTTGCTTTTGATAATCAGAATCCAGTTAACCCCTTTGGAGCATTTGCTGACCAAGAATAGTTCTTGCTTATTTAAATTATGTTGCCCTCCATGGCTGTTCTAAAGCCTCTCTCACTGCTCAGGCATTTCTGTCAGCTTGGGGCCAAAATAAGGAAAAGGAAATAATAATTGACTTGGGGATTTCCTGTTCATTTGGAAGGAATGAGAGATTCATTTCAGAATTTACACTCTGAACCACAGCACTGTACACTTATTTCCAAAAAAAAGAGACTAGGATCATGCTATTAATTCCTCTGTCTCTTTCTCTCCAAATTAATATCCACAAGTTTCCCTTTCAGCAGAATGAGGTCAGCCTGGAAGAAAGGAAGGCACAGATGCCGAGGTCTGGTGCTGTCCACAAAGCATGGCTCGGAAGAGGGCGTACAGCTCAGGACTGCAGCTGGACTTACTCATCTGAAACCTCAATAGACGACTTCTTATAGCCAGACTTGCTCCTCTTCTTCAGCCCCGCAGACTTCCTCCCCATTCTCACCAGTAGCAGAATAACCACTACAGTTGAGGGAATGAAGACAAGAATGGAAAGAAGGGCCACAGAGGACAGCATCGTGCCAAAACCTGAAGGACGAAAAGAGAAGGTAAAAGAGAGGGATGTGCAAAGTGCTTCCTATGACATGAGATAGTCTTACTTTTGCTCCAGTTTTCTTCTGATTACAAAAGGAATAAATTCATGGTAGAAACACCGGAAAATACACAAAAACACAAAGAATTAAAATTAAAACCCATAATCTGGATACCTAGGATCAACATGTCAGTATCTACCTGTTCACTCTTCTTTCTAGGAGTCTGTGTCTCTGTTTTATGTTTTGGGGTTTTGGCCACGAGGCAGGTGGGATCTTAGCTCCCCTGACAGGGATGGAAAACACACCCCCAGTGTTAGAAGATGAAGTCTTAACCACTGGACCACCAGGGAAGTCCCCAGGAGTATGTGGGCATGAGTGGGAATATAAGGAGGAGACTTTATGTTCAGAAGTGCAGACCATACTTTACAGACTTTTTCTAACCTCTTTTTTATTTACTATATAAATATTTTCCATAAATATTCCATCCATGTGTGATTTTTTTTTCCATTTTATTTATTTTTTTAATTGGAGTATAATTGGTGGCTTCCTTGGTGGTTCAGGTGGTAAAGAGTCCACCTGCAATGCAGGAGACTCGGGTTCGATCCCTGGGTCGGGAAGATCCCCTGGAGAAGGAAATGGCAACCTACTCAAGTATTCTTGCCTGGAGAATCCCATGGACAGAGGAGCCTGGCGGGCTGCAGTCCACGGGGTCACAAAGAGTGACTAACACACACAATTGCCTTACAGTGTTGTGTTAGTCTCCGCTATACAACAATGCGAATCAGCTATGTGTATTCATATATCCCTTTCCTCCTGAGCCTCCCTCCCACGCCTCTAAGTCATCACAGAGCACCAAGCTGAGCTCCCTGGACTCTACAGCAGTTTCCCACTAGCTAGCTATTTTACCCGTGGTGTGCATGTATGTCAATGCTACTCTTCCAATTCACCCCACCCTCTCCTTCTCCCGCTGTGTCCACAAGTCCGTTCTCTAAGTCTGTGTCTCCTCAGATGTATAGAACAGACTTTTGGACTCTGTGGGAGAAGGCGAGGGTGGGATGAGCTGAGAGAATAGCATTGAAACATGTATATTATCAAGTGTGAGACAGATTGCCAGTCCAGGTTGGCTGCATGAGACAAGTGCTCAGGGCTGGTGCACTGGGAAGACCCAGAGGGATGGGATGGGGAGGGAGGTAGGAGGGGGGATCAGGATGGGGAACACATGTAAATCCATGGCTGATTCATGTCAATGTATGGCAAAAACCACTACAATATTGTAAAGTAGTTAGCCTCCAACTAATAAAAATAAATGAAAAAAATAATAATAAGTCTGTCTCTTTTCCTGCTCTGCAAATAGGTTCATCAGTCCAGGTGTGACTTTTTTTAAGGGCTGCATAGTATTCTGCATATTGAATAATTTATTGCATCAATCTGCTAATGCTGGATATTAAAGTTGTTTCCAATTCTTTGAATCTATGAGTTATGTAATGATGATCATCCTTGTATATAAACATTCATACTTAGCTCTATTTTTTAAAACATTTTAAAATTGAATTGCTGAATCAAAGGATATATAATTTTAAGGTATCTGATTTATACTATCAAACAGTCTGCCAGAAAAACTATACCAGTTTCTACTCCCACCAGCAGTATGAATATGCCCATGTCTTTGAAATCTATAAGTTGTCCTAAAAAAATAAAGAAAGAGAAAGGCAAGGGAGAAAGAGACAGAGAGACATACAGAAAGATTTGAGAAATGACAAGGTAGCTATAATGAACCATAATGCAGGTCTCTATATCTAAATCTTTGGTTCAAATCCAAATAAGGACTAGAATGACCACTCAACAGTCACCAGGGAAGGGTGGGAGAAAAAAGGTCAGTCCTTATCCCACTCATGTTTCATACTGAATGCTGCTCTTTGCAACAGAAAAGAAATGTGCAGCCTCCATATTTAAAGGAGGTACCCTTTCAAGACTCAGGAAAAAACACAGTCTCATAACTGAGGGTATGAACACATTAGGGAAACCAGAATGACATCTGTTTCACACAGATAGCAACCCTCTATTTACTCAGGGGTTTGCATTACATTCCACAAGACTCTGGTCACCTGAAATGAAAATTTAAAGAAGAATCATGGCAAAACTATGACAATATTTGGAAAAAAAAAACTTCAGTTTCCAAAATAAAGAACTCATCCTCAAAGACAATTCAAGATGGTAGAATGTTCTGATAAAGATAAGTTAAGTTCTGCTTATCACTGATCTCTCCACAAACCACCACAGAAGTCCCAGAGCACTCACTGCAGCACAGGTTGGTGGCAGTTAGCTTACCCCTTTCTGTGACTGTCAGCTCTGTCGCCGGAATATTATGGTGCACGTCTGGGGGGTTTTTCACAGCACAGCTGAATGTCCCATTGTCCTTCATGGTAGGATTGCTTATGCTTATGGATGCATCCCCTTTGTATACATCTCCAACCCAGGAAATCCGATCCCGAAAAGTGCCAGCTGTCGTTGGGTACTGGAAAGACTGATAATGGAAAATCTAGGAAAGCAACACCATGAGAAAATAAAAGAGTTAATATGGAAAATGCAATGAAACGTAAAGCTGCTGCTGCTGCTGCTAAGTCACTTCAGTCCTGTCTGACTCTGTGCAACCCCATAGACGGCAGCCCACCAGGCTCCCCGTCCCTGAGATTCTCCAGGCAAGAACACTGGAGTGGGTTGCCATTTCCTTCTCCAACATAAAGCTAAGTAAGTCCAAAATAAAATACAAATGTATAATGGGTTTTCTCAGTTGGACAATTTTTTCTTACACTTTGTTCACTTCTGTACTATAGGTTAAAAAGATAGGTTTATGAAACTTGTCCCCAAAACAGTCCTAACAAAAGAATCCAAGGATTCTGATTCTCGAATCTCTTCTCCCCAATGTACTAAAGTAGCAGGTCTCAACTAGAGGCAATTTTGCCCTCAAGACATTTGGCACCATCTGGAGATGTTTTTTGTTGTATTACTAGTATCTGGAGGGTAAAGGCCAGGGGATATTGCTGAAAATCCTACAGTGCATAGGCTAGCCCCCCACAACAAAGAATTATCTGGATCAAAATGCCAATAGTGCCAAAGTCAATAAATCCTATTCTAAAGCAGCATCTACTATCACATGGTACTTTATAGGGTGCAATCAACCTCTACACATTCACTTATCTGACCATCACAATAACACTGAACTATCCATGGGGCAGACAGGGAAACAAGGCCAAAAACAAAAAATTAAGTGAGTTACTCAAAAGCACCCAATGAATAAGTGGGAAAGGGAAGATCTTTCATTTATCCTCAAAATCATCAAGAGGCTATAACATAAGCCTCTCTCAAGTCATCTATCTTGGAAATTAATAAAACCCCAAGTCAGATGTGTGATTGGTACTCAATGAATATACACTGAATTAAAACAATGCTGCTTCAGATTGGTGATCAGATACCTAATCACCAAAAAACACTTCATTACATCTGGTGGTAGGTTGGGCAGGCACTACAATACAATATCATCTTTCTCTCTTATGCAAGACTCAAGCCTTTCCTCGTTCTTTTCTTACTTGGTATCCTCCCCACTTAGGAACCCAGGCTTTTACAAACACTGCATTGCCCAATTTTGAAAAGCAATTTCCCAGAGAAGACACTAAATCACTTCCTGGTTCAGGCATTCATTCAATGAATACTTGTTGCACACCTACTACATGCCCTTAGTCACTGGGTTTAGCAAAATGATACAGCAGGATTCAGGCAGGAATTTACCAGCTAGTGGGAAATACAGATATTAGTAACCAATATCTGTTTACTAATTGATTTACACAGCTGGAACACTCTTTGAGTGTTCCAAAGAGGGAGGTAAAGAATACCTATCACAGATTATCAGCATCATCATAAAAGGGTTTAAAATTTCTTATTGACAAAACAATTTTTGTTCAGAAAACAAAGATCATGGCATCCAGTCCCATCACTTCATGGCAAATAGATAGAGAAACAGTGGAAACAGTGGCAGACATTATTTTTGGGGGTTCCAAAATCACTGCAGATGGTGACTGCAGCCATGAAATAAAAAGACACTTAATCCTTGGAAGAAAAGTTATGACAAACCTAGAGAGTGTATTAAAAAGCAGAGACACTACTTTGCCAACAAAGATCCATCTAGTCAAGGCTATGTTTTTTCCAGTAGTCATGTATGGATGTGAAAGTTGGACTATAAAGAAAGCTGAGTGCCGAAGAATTGATGCTTTTGAACTGTGGTGTTGGAGAAGACTCTTGAGAGTCCCTTGGACTGCAAGGAGATCCAACCAGTCCATCCTAAAGGAGATCAGTCCTGGGTGTTCATTAGAAGGACCGATGCTGAAGCTGAAACTCCAATCCTTTGGCCACCTGATGTGAAGAGCTGACTCATTTGAAAAGACCCTGATGCTGGGAAAGATTGAAGGCGAGAGAAGAAGGAGACGACAAAGGATGAGATGGTTGGACAGCCTCACCGACTCAATGGACATGAGTTTGGGTGAACTCTAGGAGTTGGTGATGTACAGGAAGGCCTGACGTGCTGCAGTCCATGGGGTCGCAAAGCGTTGGACACGACTGAGTGACTGAACTGAACTGATTGACAAAACAAAGCCTGCTGTGAATCTTCAGGATTAATCTAACCTGTAAATTTCAAGTTAAACTGCTGCTGCTGCTGCTAAGTTAAACTAGTGATACTCAAATCCTGTTATCTGATTAGTTTGATAGAATCCTGACTGACCACATAACTGCAACATAGCATAATGCAAACTTAAAGGATCCAATAATTCCAGCTTAGGTGCGTTTGCTGATTTCCTGACTAGCCTCACAAAAAGCAGCACCATATGAGAACGGCAGTTTGCCTTTCAGGTTTCTACCCCTAGAAAATCCCCATTGTTTATTCTGTCCTACTTTCGGGCAAGGAAGAAGAGTCATATAAAGCCAGCCATAGTTTCCTGGCCACTCAAAATAAAGTGACCTATTTTAAGTCTAAAGAAAAAGGGACTGCAAATACAGCCTTGCTTCCCTCACTGGAGCCACCTCCACTAGAACAACTTACTGGAACACCTACGTAGCTACTGGGAGATGCTACATGGCATTCAATAATGGCTCCTAAAACAAAATCCAAAGCTTATACATTAAAATCAAAGAGAAAGTACTTCCAGTGAAGAAAACAGGATAACAAATGAAGGATACTTTCAAAGACACAATCTTACATGCTGCTATGACATTCACATTCTTGATAAAATGTATCCTGACCTAGGATGTTGCTGGAAGCATACGGAGAAAGTATTTTTTTAATAGCACTGCAATCTTCAATTAGACATCCACAATGGATCTGAGCCATAAATGTGCTTTATATGTGTGATTAAAATATATTGCTTCTAAGATTTCAAGACCATCTGTCACCAACGGCATCTGTCATCAACATAAGGTGCTACCACTTCCTTCAAAGGGAGCTGTGTAAATCAATGCAGATGTTTATATACTGTAGAAGATGCCAAGATAAATCTACACAGTACTGATATGCAAACAGATACACCCACAGAGATGACCTCACATGATAGGAAATGAGAAGTATTCAGCGAAAGGATGTCTAAGACTGGGACCTATAGAATTTTTCTATCCAACAGCCTGGAGGTACCCTTTTTAGTACAACAAATCTGAAACTCAAGCTATGAAGCCAAGCAAAATGAAACAACAAAGGGGAAACAAAATTAAACCACATTTCCTCTGAGTTTCTGACTGGTTTTTTCCTATAGCATATTTGCAAGATTCTTACATAGAAGAAAAAGCCCTCCATGACCAAAAATGGCTGTCATACAGAGTAGAAGCTCATCTCCTTCTATTTAATAGAAGCTCATCTTCTATCTGAAAATGAGATGGCCTAAAGTATGCCTGTGACTTAGAATAAAAGGGTTCCAGAGTTGTTGACCACAGAAAGCTCAAGGAAAGAGCCTTAAAAGTATACACTTACTGGGATTTCCCTGGTGGTCTAGTGGTTAAGAATCAACCTTGCAACGCAGGGGACATGGCTTCTATCCCTGGTTGGGAAACTAAGACCCCACATGCTGTGGGGCAACTAAGACCATGTGTCAGAACTAAAGAGCCCATGTGAGTCAACACAGCCAGATAAATAAATGTTGTAGAAATTAAAGTACACACTTACGGATTCCGTGCGGCTGCTGCTCGGAGGCCGGTATGTCCAGTCTATGGTGAGTTTGTCTGTGATAGAAGAGGATGACTTGAAGGTGCATCTCAACTTGATATTTTCTCCAACATAACCCCGGACATGGGCATCCACTTTAATCTCCAGGGTAAAGACGACATAAACACCTAATCAAAGCAAGCCCAAACTTTTAAAATGTGTGCATTGGATGGAATACATAGATGTGAGTGAACAACACAGAAGCACTAGGTATCATTTTTAGGTCTCTCATCAAAAAGTCATGGGAATAAATATCTTCTCAGGCAGGCCCAAAAGGATAAGGAGTGGATATCTACATTAATTAACAGTGGGGTGGTGGTTCGTCATTTTACGAAATGAAGTCATAGAATGAAAGTCTGGGTAGAAATTTTAAACCTAGTCATACCAGCATTTTTCCAATAGACTTGTGGTGAAGTTAACTATAATGAAGCATGTCAGCCCACGGAAGGCTAAAAGGCAATGCCACCCACTCCCTTGACACACTTACACTGCAGGAGTGTGACAACTATTGTGTCTGAGGGATTTACCCCAAATACAGCTCGGCTGTTCACCTGAAGCTATCACTGCCCCAACCACCAGCAGAAATAAGAATTGGAATTTTTTTCAAACAATTTTATATATCTACCTCAAGGTTCTATCTGGTTTGGTTTTGTTTTTCCCTTTCTTAAAGCCAGTTAATGAATCACATATCCATTAAAAGTAAATCAGAGGCAGGAAAAAGTTTATTAACTTTGCAATTTAATGCATTTTTTTTTGGCTTGGTAAGGTTCTTTTTATTTTTTTTTAATTGGAGGATAATTGCTTTACAACGTTGTGTTCATTTCTGCTGCACAACAAGTGATGCAGCTGTAAGTATACACGTATCCCCTCCCTCTTGTGCCTCTTCCCACCCCCATCCCCCATCTCCTCTCTCTAGGTCATTACAGAGCTTAGTATTCTGTGCTTACAGCTGCTCCCCACTAGCTCTTTACTTTACGCATGGTAGCGTATATATGTCAGTGTCACTCTTGTCAATTTGTCCCACCCTCTCCTTCCCCGGCTGTGTCCACAAGTCCATTTTCTGCGTCCCTATTTCTGCCCTGCAAATCTGTTCATCAGTACCATTTTTCTAGATTCCAAATATGTATATGTTAATATATGATATTTTTTTCTCTTTCTGACTTACCTCACTCTGCATGACAGCCTCTAGGCAATTTAATGCATTTTAAAATGTAAAAATAAGATATGACTTTAAAATTCTCTAGAGACTTCCTCTGTCCAAATCCACCCCCATAGATCCAACTCTGAAACCCTGTCTCCCCTAAAGGAGTTGGCACTTTCTTTAGGCAACTCCCTCTATTTTCAGAGAATAGTAGTAGAAATTTCTCTCCCACTAGGGAGCCATTTTTTTTTTTAAGTAAGCCACTAGCAGTTTATTTTTCCTGCCTCCTTCTCCACCACAATGAGCTATGATTCGTCTGGCAGGCCAAAGGCAAAAAGAGCAGCAAGGTTTCAAAAGAGAGCAAACCCACACACCATCCTGAAAACCAGCAGTCCCTCTGGTTGAGACAGTACGCAAATCCCAGCCCTATCAATTGCTGACTCTGTGGTCTTCGTACTTGATCTCTTCAGCTTCTCATTCTGGTAGGAATGAGAATAATAACACTTACCTTAGTACTTAACTGTGAGAAATATTTGGATTAAAACAGGTGCCACACCAAGAAGCCTACCTAACCCAGAGTAAGTGATCAATGCTCATTAGCTAGCTTCACCATCCTTACTGCCACATCTTTAGTTCTGTCCTTAACCACCTCAGAAATGCAGATACCACCCTAATGCCAGAAAGTGAAGAGGAACTAAAGAGCCTCTTGATGAGGCTGAAAGAGAAGAGTGAAAAGGATGACTTAAAACTATTCAAAAAACTAAGACCATGGCATTTGGTCCCATCACTTCATGGCAAACAGATGGGGGGAAAATGGAAACAGTGACAGATTTTATTTTCTTGGGTTCCAAAATCATTGAGGACAGTGACTTCAGCCATGAAATTAAAAGACACCTGCTCCTTGGAAGAAAAGCTATGACAAACCTAGAGAGCGTACTAAAAAGCAGAGACATCCCTTTGCAACAAAAATCCATAGAGTCAACGCTATGGTTTATCTAGTAGTCATGAAGGGATGTGAGAGTTGGACCAAAAAGAAGGCCTAGAGAAAAAAAAAGAAGACTGAGCACCGAAGAGTTGATGCTTTTGAACTGTGGTTCTGTAGAAGACTCTTGAGAGTCCCTTGGACAGTAAAGGAGATCAAACCAGTCAATCCTAAAGGAAATCAACCCTGAATATTCATTGGATGGACTGATGCTGAAGCTCCAATACTCTGGCCACCTGATGCAAGGAGCTGACTCATTGCATGAGACCCTGGTGCTGGGAAAGACTGAGGGCAGGAGGAGAAGGGGGTGACAGAATGAGATGGTTGGATGGCATCAACAACTCAATGGACATGAGTTTGAGCAAACTCCAGGAGATGGTGAAGGACAGGGAAGTTTGGCATGCTGCAGTCCATGGGGTTGCAAAGAATCAGACACAACCTAGCAACTGAACTGAACTGAACTTACGCTCTCAACCTTTCTTATCACAGACATACTTATGAGTCATCCATTCCACTGCCTTTACCTCTGCTGCTTTTAATCACGATTCTCATTCCTTTCTGGATAATCCAGTCTGTTCACATTCCTCTTAAAAGGAGGAGACCAAGACTAAGCTCACAAGACCAAGACTAAGCCCATCCCCAAAATGAGGACTATTTCTGGTTCATCAAAAACATCCTGACTTTGTCATGCTAAACTTGTCATTCCTCCCGTGCCTTTGCAAATGCTGCTTCTCTGCCTGGAAAGACTTCATCCTTCAAAATCTAGTTGCTTAGGATTTCTGACCCAAGATACAGGGTCTCTGTACTAAAGATACAGCTCTAAAAACTGGAAAGCAGAAATAAATAATAAATGGATAATCTACACTTTCCTCATATCCTTTATATATTTGAATTGGCCAAAAAGGTCACTCAGGTTTTACATAAGAATTTACGGAAAAACCCAAACCAACTTTTCTTTTTTTTCCCCCCCATTTACTAGTTGGAGGCTAATTACTTTACAGTATTGTAGTGGTTTTTGCCATACATTGAAATGAATCAGCCATGGATTTACATGTATTCCCCATCCCGATCCCCCCCTGCCACCTCCCTCTCCACCCGATCCCTCTGGGTCTTCCCAGTGCACCAGGCCCGAGCACTTGTCTCCAACCTGGGCTGGTGATCTGTTTCACTCATGATAATATACATGTTTCGATGCTATTCTCTCGAAACATCCCACCCTCGCCTTCTCCCACAGAGTCCAAAAGTCTGTTCTGTACATCTGTGTCTCTTTTTCTGTTTTGCATATAGGGTTATTGTTACCATCTTTCTAAATTCCATATATATGCATTAGTATACTGTATTGGTCTTTATCTTTCTGGCTTACTTCGCTCTGTATAATGGGCTCCAGTTTCATCCATCTCATTAGAACTGATTCAAATGAATTCTTTTTAATGGCTGAGTAATATTCCATGGTGTATATGTACCACAGCTTCCTCATCCATTCATCTGCTGATGGGCATCTAGGTTGCTTCCATGTCCTGGATATTACAAACAGTGCTGCGATGAACATTGGGGTGCACGTGTCTCTTTCAGATCTGGTTTCCTCGGTGTGTATGCCCAGAAGTGGGATTGCTGGGTCATATGGCAGTTCTATTTCCAGCTTTTTAAGAAATCTCCACACTGTTCTCCATAGTGGCTGTAATAGTTTGCATTCCCACCAACAGTGTAAGAGGGTTCCCTTTTCTCCACACCCTCTCCAGCATTTATTGCTTGTAGACTTTTGGATAGCAGCCATCCTGACTGGCGTGTAATGGTACCTCATTGTGGTTTTGATTTGCATTTCTCTGATGATGAGTGATGTTGAGCATCTTTTCATGTGTTTGTTAGCCATCTGTATGTCTTCTTTGGAGAAATGTCTGTTTAGGTCTTTGGCCCATTTTTTGATTGGGTCATTTATTTTTCTGGAGTTGAGCTGCAGGAGTTGCTTGTATATTTTTGAGATTAATCCTTTGTTGCTTCGTTTGCTATTATTTTCTCCCAATCTGAGGGCTGTCTTTTCACCTTGCTTATAGTTTCCTTTGTTGTGCAAAAGCTTTTAAGTTTAATTAGGTCCCATTTGTTTATTTGTTTTTATTTCCAATATTCTGGGAGGTGGGTCATAGAGGATCCTGCTGTGATTTATGTCACAGAGTGTTTTGCCTATGTTCTCCTCTAGGAGTTTTATAGTTTCTGGTCTTACATTTAGATCTTTAATCCATTTTGAGTTTATTTTTGTGTATGGTGTTAGAAAGTATTCTAGTTTCATTCTTTTACAAGTGGTTGACCAGTTTTCCCAGCACCACTTGTTAAAGAGGTTGTCTTTTCCATTGTATATTCTTGCCTCCTTTGCCAAAGACAAGGTGTCCATAGGTTCAGGGATTTATCTCTGGGCTTTCTATTCTGTTCCATTGATCTATATTTCTGTCTTTGTGCCAGTACCATACTGTCTTGATGACTGTGGCTTTGTAGTATAGTCTGAAGTCAGGCAGGTTGATTCCTCCAGTTCAATTCTTCTTTCTCAAGATTACTTTAGCTATTCGAAGTTTTTCCAAACCAACTTTTTGACCAGCCCACTATCTTTATCTTAAAACATAAGAATACCAGAGAGATTTTAAAGTTTGGATTTAGAATTAGACAGACTTGAACTTGAGTTCTAGCCCAGCTACTTTCTGCCTATGAAATCTTGATAATAGTTACCTAACCTGTTCCAGACTCAACTTCCTCACTTGAAGGGGGAATAATAAAAAGGACCTACTTCATTGAGTCACTGGGAGGATCTAATAAGATTAAAGAAGGTAACACATAAAATGTATAGTGTAGAACCTGAAATTGAAACTTTTGATAAATGCTAGCTATTATCATTAAAATGAACACCACAAAATCAAAAACCTTCAGCAATTTTCTATTGGGCTATAACATAAAATCTAAATAGTGCCAATCTGGCCTCCAACTTCTGCTACTCTACCCACTACCCATCCCATCCCCTT